GTAAAAGATAATAGAATTTACTATATAGTAAAGTAAAAAAAAAAAATTCAGCTTCAAACACATTATTGTTGTCCGATCCTTCTTTTTTTCTTTTCCTTTACTCCTGCACAAAAAAAAAAAAAAAAAAGACATCGAATTGTTAGATATGGCGAAATCTCGAATACACAAAATCAAATATATGTGAAATCAATTTCGAGTTTCGCGTACCACACGATTTTCTTTAGCAAATTCGGCCTTCCACCGATCGTCTTCCAAGATAGAACTAATTATCAACGGAATATCAGATTCCACAAATCAAATTAGAAACGGAGAAATTTTGCACAGAAAACATAAATTGAGAGAGTATTTGAAAGAGAGATTTGAGAATTGGTTTTTTCCGTCTTCCATCGAAAATGGGAGAAAAAGAAAAAACTGTCAACTTCTTACATTCAGTTGCAACATTTGATTATTTATTTATTTATTTTTGCAAATCAAAATAAATTAATTAAATAAAATATGAGACAAATAATTTATCCTATTTAATTAAATACCCAACAAATCATCGACTGAACATCACTATCGTTACAGAAAAGAAATTAGAGAAGAAAATAGGGGAAAAAGTGGACTAGACTAAATTCTCTTTCTTTGTAGTTCTAAAAAAAAAAATAGACAGTAAAAAAATAAGTTACTGTACAACTTAAGATCAAATTCATCGAAAAAGCGACAGAAAGGCAAAATGAAACATTTTTACAGTTTTCCGTTGTTGCTCCAAGATGGCCAATATATATGCATAATTTATTTTAAGTGTATGTATATATATTGTTTGTTATTTTAAATTGATTTGATGTTTTATTTAAATAATATTTAAATATGAGATTTTAGACAAATAAATAATAATGGAGTATTAATTTTTTATTTAATCACAACAAACACATATATTTATAATTATAAAACAATTATTGATTTGTTTAATTGTATTATAAATTATTTGTTTGTATTATTTATACATTATCATTTATTCTTACTCTCTATAAGATATCATATTACATTTTTATTTTTTATGTATTGATAAAAATGTAATAAGATAAGTAAAAAATATTGGTAAAATATTATATGTTCATCAAATAATATTTCTTTCTGTTTCATTTTAAATGATACATTTGATTATGGATACGATTTTTAAGGTGATAGATGTTTAATTAGTTAATAATAATAATTTATGATATTATTTTATTATTTTTATATAAAATATGTTGTTAATAATTTTAAAATAAGAAATATTTAAAAGAAATTTAGAGTAAATATTTAAATATTTTAAAAATTATATGAATATCTTTTTATAGAAATAAAATTTATATGATGCTAATAAATAAATAATTTATTTATTTATGATTAACATCAACTAATTTAATAACAAAGAAAAAATTTTAAATATAGATAAAAATATTTGTTTATTTAAGAGAAAGAAAAAATTTTAAATATAGATAAAAATATTTGTTTATTTAAGAGAAAGATATGAATAAAGGACTGAGTCTATATGAAATATAATAATATTATATTTTATAAAATTAATTAAGTTGATTTATATTTTTAAAATATTATATAAATTAATAACTTTATCAAATATAGAAAATTATCATTTGTTATAAGACAAATTAAAATAAAAATAATATCATTTGTTAAGAATATATGTAAAAAAATTTTTACACGACTTCCTATTAATATTAAAAGAATATAATATACGCGCATATATTATAAAACATCATATGAGACATTTAGAAAAGGGCCTTAAGTATGCTTATCCATTAAAATATTTTTACTCAGTCTTCTTATAATATTAAAGGGTAAATTCTTTTTTTTAGTTTCGTAATTGAATTTTTTTATCATTTTAATCATGTAATTAGAAATTATCTTAAACTAATCTTTGTAAGTGGAAAATTTTTTCAATTTAGTCTTCAATGTCTTTGTAGCATCTGCGTGGCAAACTGACGGACATATGTCTGCCAGATCAGCGCTACGTGGCTCGTCGGAGGCTACGTGTCCGTCGGGTCAGCAATACTTGGCGGACACGTGGATTTTATTTTATTTTATTATGTTATTTTTATTTATTTTTTAAAAATATATTTAAAATATATTTTTAATTTTATTTGCCTTTTTTAATTTTTTAAAATTTTTTTTATTTGGTCCAATTGAAAAAAAAATTAAAAAAATAAAAAAATAAAAAAATCAAATAAAATTCAGGTGTCGTTGACTTGGTGGGACACCCGGCGGACACGTAGCTTCCGGCGAGCCACGCGGGTGTATCCGGTGTCGGAGGATTAAAACAACGAAAATTTTTCACTTATGGGACTAGTTTGCGATATACCCCACTTACGGGACTAAAATGATAAAGGCGTCGTTACGGGACTAAAAAAACAATTTACCTTTAAAAAATACAATATACAATATATATTCTATAAACTTAAATTTAATAAAAAAGTATTTCTAATAAAAAAAATATATTATTATTTTTTGTATTTTTATTATAAAAAGAAAAAATAATAATAATAAATGCATACTAATATTAGAACTCATACCCAAAAAATGGATCAAATTTTTAGTTATTATTATTATTATTAACGTATTTTCGGTAATATATAAAAAATCTTAAACTAAAAATATTAAACAAATACATATTATTATTCAGTTAAAATAATAATAAATAAATGAATAAATAAATGAATCTTTTTATTATAAATAAATTATGCTATAGGCATGACAACAAAAAATCAATATAATTTTGATATGCAAAAGAATTATTACATAAAAAAAATAATAAAAATGTAATATGATATTTTTTAGAGAACAAAATAATATCATGAATATATACAGTAAACAAATACTCGTTACACATCTCTTGCAATATTTTATATTTTAGTTTGTTTCGTATATCTGCAATATTTCCAAAATATGAAATAACTAATTAAACTTTATCTTATTTTATCATTCAAATAAAAAAAATATAAATATACATTTATTTCTCATCGCATAATTTTTAATTTATTTTACTTAATACACACTTAAATTTTCGTTCAAAAATCAAATATTTTATTATATGTAGGACGGAGGAAATATAATTTATTCATTTTGTAATTTTGATATTTTGAAAGCAATTTATATGTTTTTGTTTTTAGGTAATTTTTTAAAATTTTTATACTTATCTTTTTATCATTTTAGTATAGCAACCGAACTTTGTATACATTTGGTCTCCTAACCGCAAAATTTTGACAGAAATAATCATCTGTCACCAGAATTGTCACGCTGGCAACGGCAAATTGATTTTTTTTTTTTTTTGAAAGAAAAAATAATTAGGTAATTTTTTTAAAAAAGATAGAATGAAAAATAAATAATAAGAGAATTTACTTAAGAATAATAAGATGCTTGACAAATTATTATTACTTTCCTTTTTTGTATATGCGTTAAATTTGATTTAATTATTACTCTTTATTCAACATATGTGACTAACTTTATTACATTTTTCTTTTTAATTTATTTAACTACTAACAAAAAAAATTTAAAAAATATCTTTAATTATTTTTTTACTTTCTTTTTTTTTTCAATAAAATATTTACCCTTTTTAATTTTCGTGTTAATTCCAAATTAATTAAATATAACTATCGAAAAGAGTATTTATTTATATATATTTATATAATCAAACTACACATTCAATCAATTACAAACAAATACACCTTTTGAGATTTTATCCACTTTCTTAATATGCAAATTTTTTTATAGAAAATTTATTACTTTTTATATAAAAAATTATTTAATATAAATGCAAATCAAACAAAACTTATCCCAAAATTATGTTAACTGTTATTTTCTAAACATATGCCTAATCCAATTTCGAATAACAAAAATGAAAAGAGTAATATATTTAAGGAGTTTTCTTTTTTTTTTTTTCCAAAAAAAAAATAATTATTTATTCCCTAAAAATATATTATCTGTTTACTAAAATATTCGTATCAAAATACCATTTAAATATAAAATCAAGTCAACAATTCCAATTTCAAATAAAAGCCAACATACATATATATATATATATCTAATTTGGATTAACTGAAAATGAAAGAGTAATATATGCATAAGCATAATATTATGCTAATTTGACTTAAGTTTATATTTTGTATTGTCATAATATGCTAATTGGATAATATCACTAATCAGCCCACTAATTGTAGGATATGTAGATATTCAATAAAAATATATTATTTTATATTCTCTGGATAAAGTAGAAATAAAAGTAAAAAAATTAAATTATCCCTCTATTAGTATTGTATAATATAAAGGTAATGTCATTTGTGTAATATATTGTAAATTGGAAAAGTATTGTAACGTTAGCTAGATGATACAATTACTTAAAAAAAATAGATACTTTGTTAACTGACCAAAATAAAAAAATGAATAAATTGTTAAGAGACGGAGGGAATATAAAATATAAACTAAAATATTATTTAAATAAAAAAAAATTACAATTCAATTTCAAATCAAAATCCAAAGAAATCACATACATCTCGAAAGTTATCGTTTGGTTGAATTTGATATTAAAATAATATTAATGAGATAGTTTGTAAAAAAGAAAATATACTTCCTCTGTTGTAGTCAAATTTATACTCACTTTCCTTTTTAGTTCGTCCACTAAATTTATTCTATTACTAATTTTGGCAAAGTCAATGAATCAAAAATATTATTACTATCAATTCTAACACTTATTTACAACAAATACCAGTAACTAAATTTTTAAAAATACCCTAAATTACTTATTAGTTTTTCAATACGTGCCGAGCTCAAACTAATTTTAATGGATGATGAGAGTATATTCTTTTAAATAAACTTCAAAATCTAAATATTAAAAATTGAAGAAATAGTCGCAATTTCTTTTATAATTTCCTTTAAAACTTTTTAACTAAAATAATGCTGTAAAAAAATAATTTAATATTGTCAAAAAAGGGGAAAACTATTGACTGAATATACTCGTGATGATTCGGCCACCATTGTTCTGGCAACTCTAAAAATCATTTTCCTTCCTTCTTGTGCCCCTGTAAGATACTCGCAGTGCAGATTGATTGAGTTCCATTTCTTCTCTGACCTCTGTGGGTCGCGGATGGTGATGCAATTGGAGGAGGAGGAGGACCTTTCACGACTCCATTTAAAGTTTAAACAATTCTCCGCAGTTTTTAATTGAGGCGAAGACCGGTGTCTTTTACCTTTTTTGTTTGTATTTGTTTCTTTCGAGCGGAATCCTGTTACGAAAAGCCTGCCATTGATACTACTTTGCCGAATCTCTGGAAAGGTAATAAGATAGTGATTCCTCTCTATATTTGTATATGAATTTTTTTTACTGCTTTTACGGAGGGGTGATTTCATGAGTGGTTTGAATCTAAGCCTATTGTGTGTGTATGGACGTCGTTCTAGATCACATAATTCATTAATTCGGTTGGAGGAGTATTTGATTTCAGTTCTTAGATTGGCTGTTTATAATATTTTAATTCTAATCCTGCGCAGAGTTGCACATGCATGACTCCAACTTCTTGTTTGGAATTGTTTATTTGCGACGATTCCATTAATCTGTTCTTCTGAACTTGTCATCTCCAGATCTATTGTTGGTGTTTAGATTTGGATTTGGGGGAGTTTTGAAGCAGGTGTGGAATTAGTTACCAGAGAGTATGCATAATTCTGTGTCTGAGCACAGCTTCTATATAGAGAGTGATGAAGAAGAAGAGGTTGAGAAGAAGGGTGAAGAAGACCATGGAGAAGCTGGGATTGGAAACAGTTCCGAATCCGAATCTTCGGTTTACTCTACTGATAATGACGATGAACATAATCAGCAAGCTCAGCCTAGTTCTGTAATCCCCTCTTGGCCTCAAAGTTACAGGTTATCATTTCCTGATGCTATGCTTTTTTTCATTCTCTGTCTCTCCTTATATGTGTTCTAGGCCAAACTTATTGGAACTGATTTACAGTATTCATGATCCAGTTGAAGCTTATAGGTATTGATCATCATTGATTTGTGAGGAGAATGATTTTCATGTGAATTGGAGTGATATTTTGTGCAATTAAGGCCGTTAGTCGGAATCTCATGTAGCTGTGGCCTAAGATGGTTTGGGAAATGATTGCAATCCGAATGATGTTTCAAGAGCTTTTTCGCTGTTTTAAGTTTGGATTAGATTTCTTAAGAACTAACTGTTTAAACTGTTGCTCGAAACGTGTTGTCTAATTGTGTTGATGAATTCTTGTCATATATGTGTTGTAGGCAATCCATTGATCTGTACGGTAGCGTGCCATCCCCAACCATTACCTTTCTTGGGGCGTCATCATTGACACGTTTAGGCAGTTCATTCTTTTCATCCTCGCTTACAAGGAGGCACACTCCCGAGATACTGCCTTCGCTGAGCAAGCCTCTAATACCCTCCGTGGATGATGAGAAACCTAAAGAGAAACAGAGTTCACATTCTCTTTTGCCCCCGAGGAAACCTACCATACCAAAACTAACGCCTGATGCGAAAGTTTCCACCGGACATGAACTCCCGATTTCTCGCCAAAGTTCATATGGCCAGGCTGTGCTAAATGGTAGGTCATTTCTGGTTCTTTTTTGCCCTTTCAGGCTGATTACTAATGCTATTCCTTACAGGCATGAATGTGCTATGCGGTGTCGGAATTCTTTCCACTCCTTTCGCAGTCAAACAAGGTGGATGGATTAGTCTTTCGATTTTGTTTATTTTTGCTATACTTTCGTACTACACCGGAATCCTCCTTAGGCGCTGTCTAGATAGTAAAACAGGGCTCGAAACATACCCGGACATTGGTCAAGCTGCCTTTGGTACTTTGGGACGAATTGTCATATCTGTAAGTGTCATTATTTCCGAATCTACAAACAAAATCATTTCTGTAAACTGCTGGCATTGATTTCTTGCCTGTTGCCTTCGCCGATGCAGATTATTTTGTACGTGGAGTTATATGTAAGTATGATTTTCTCGGCATGCTTTGGCAATGTTATGCTTATCGTATGCTTAGTTAATGCTAAGATGAATTTCATGGTGTTTTGTAGTCTTGCTGCATCGAATACATTATTCTGGAGAGTGATAACTTATCGTCTTTGTTTCCGAATGCACATTTAAACCTCGGAGTCCTTGAACTCGACTCTCATCATCTTTTCGCTGTGATGACTGCCCTCGCTGTTCTTCCAACAGTGTGGTTACGGGATATGACCATTCTCAGCTACATCTCAGGTGAGAATTATTCATTTGTAAATACATTGTGCGTGCACGTGCGTTTTCCTGTTTTTAAAACACTTTCTAGCTGTCAATTTAATACCTTCACACTTGTAACGTTTGTTTCTAAGCTGGAGGAGTTGTAGCATCGATCTTGGTGGTTGCTTCTTTGTTCTGGGCTGGTTTAGTCGATCAAGTTGGATTCGAATCTAAAGGAACGACGTTCAACCTTTCTACCCTTCCTGTTGCTATCGGTCTCTACGGTTATTGCTACTCGGGGCACGCAGTTTTCCCAAACATCTATACGTCGATGAAGAATCGTAACCAGTATCCTTCCGTTCTCCTGGCGAGGTAAAAATAAACACATTTTGAATGACATATTTGGTTAAATTTAGAATCATTAGATGTTTGGAAACAATTTTTCTGCTCTGTTTCGTTATTTCTAAACTCGTCGGAAAATGGATGTTTCGCAGCTTCGGAATCTGCACTTTGATGTACGCTGCAGTTGCTGTTCTTGGGTATATGATGTTTGGAGACTCGACGGAATCACAGTTCACTCTCAACATGCCTCACAATTTAGTCGCCTCTAAAATCGCACTTTGGACTACGGTGAGTCAGTTTTTGACATGTTTTTTTTTCGAAGGTACTGAGTATTACAAATTGCAACATTTACAGAACATAGGCCCTTTGTTTTCGTCGTTTTTTCGCCTAATTAACTCCGTGGCCTCTGCAGGTCGTCAATCCATTCACAAAATATGCGCTGACAATGACTCCGGTGGCGATGAGTCTCGAAGAATTAATCCCATCAAACCACGGCATGACATACGTATACTCGATCTTCATAAGAACGGCTTTGGTTATATCCACATTGTTCTTAGGCCTTAGCATCCCTTTTTTCGGTAAGCTCGGATGGATCTTTTCCCTTTCAATTCCTTTCCTTTCTGGGTCTAATTCGCGAAAACTTTGGATTTTTCAGGTCTGGTGATGGCCTTGATCGGTTCTTTACTCACAATGCTCGTCGTAAGTCCTCGTCATAAATTCATCGTTGTCGTTCTTACCTTATTTATGTCGTAAATGTTAATGATCTTGCTCGGACAGACGTTGATTCTGCCGTGCGCTTGCTACCTGAGCATTTCGAGGGGCAAAATAACCGTTTTCCAGGTGCGCCTCCTCGCGTACATTTTTTTAAAACGAGCTGAACTGAGCTGAGCTTTTGAGGCCGATTTTTGCAGGGCACGATGTGCACGGTGGTGATCGGCGTCGGGCTGGTGTCGGCGGCGTTCGGAACGTATTCAGCCGTGTCGCAGATCGTCGAGAATCTGATCTGAGTGATTGAAGCATGTGTGCATTTATGCGTGTTCTTCCCACATGCAGGTGCACAATTGTCCTGTTTGATTATTGTTTCTTTTGTTCTGCCATGCTGCTTCTTGTTTTTCTTCTAAAATCAAATTATTATTATTATTATTATTATTATTATTATTATTATTATTTTACATGTGTTTTAGATATGCTTTTTTGAAATGATTTGGGGTTGTGCTTGGATATCTATACTTTTTTGCTTTCTTGAAATTCACATTCTCTACTTTTTAAGTTTGTTAAAAATTTGGGTTAAATTATTTTCTTACCCCTTGTTTTCGTTCTGAAGTGTTGTTGTATCATTCTTTAATTTTATTTTTTTATTTTTAATATATATTGTTTTAGTTGAGCTGCCTATGTTCTTATGTAGGTATGAGATAGTCTTTAATAATATTCTAATAATCATAGTGTTCTTCTTGAGACTTCACTTGGTGAACATTTTAACATTTTTTGTGCCGCCATTGATTGTTGTTGAACCTAAATATTTGTAGAGAAGAGCTGTCCACAAATTTATAAATTTGGGTCGAAGATAACCTCTCTATACTAAAGTTCTTGAAAATAAAATACAAAGAAAAATGATATAGGTGGGACTACTACACGTACTCATTTCATTTATTTATTTGTTTGTTTGTTTGATGACAAATGAGAAATATGGATATACTAGAAGAATCCATCATATTTGCTTCACAATGCAATGATTTTGTATTTTATACAAAAGTATTATTAGTTGAAATTGTTAATTCCTGCCCATGCTTTTAGTTTATATTATCTTTTATATATGACAATCTTGATTGGCTATCACATTTCACATTTCAAATATGCATTCTCCCCCGTTTTTTTTTTTTAAAATTGAAAATCAACAGTTTTAACGATAAATGTCTTTCTCACTAAAAATGATTTACCTTATAAGTCACTTTCTATTATGCAATTTAAATATATTTCAGTAGAAATTTTTTTCTTTTTTTGTTATAACATGTACTGAGTGATTACTTAATTTAAATTAGAAGCTATCATCATTGGTTTTATTATATTTTTATGTACAATGAACATAGAAAACATACGGAAGTTTTTAACCTTTTCTAAAATTTCAAGAGAGTTGCATTTTATTTTTTTTTTAATAACGTAGGAATCCGCAGCCGCTACCCAGTTGTCTCATTTGATTATATAGTTTGTATCCAAATAACAATTTAATTGTTTTGGTTATACATGTTGATGGCAGATGAAGATTGAAAGTTAATTTTTTTTTTTTTTCTATCATGCGTTTGTGTTGGTTTGCAGTGTATGCTTTTATGAATGTGTTGCCTGTTTTTCGCTTTGTGTTGTTCTGATAAAATTTTCTCAATTGTCCCAACTTGTATTTACACTAAATTTGCCTGGAGCTATATCTCTATTTGAAAAAGTGTTTGAGCAAATAAAACAAGTTAGAATGAATATTGCATGTACAAATTTAGAGTTGGTCTTGAAAAATGTTTATTTTCTTAGAAACAAATGTGGAGTTAGAGCTTAAGCATATTTGTTCAAGAGATTCTTATGTATCATTTAGCTAAAATATGTTAGATACCATCCGAAAGAATATTTAACAGAAATGTTCATCCAGCTACAATTCCAGAAAAATTCTGTGTGGGTTTATTTATGGGGCTAAGATATGAGTTTAAGATATGTTTGCACAAATTGAAGGTGTTCTATCATATATTTGTGAGTCTCTATTTGATAAATACATGTATCTATATATATATATATATGTGTGAGTATATATAGGGAAATAATCTATGATTAATGAAGAAAAGAAATAACAGTAGGGATCCACAATGGGTAGGGGTAGACTCAAGATCTGACTCGGACTCAACCCATTTATTTGGACCCAGGTTCAATTATTTTGGTATTGGATCAAATATGAATTGGATTATTAATAAATTTTTAGAGTCGGGTCGGGTTCAGGGTTTAATATAGTATATTCTATCCAACCCAGACCCGAACCCAATTACTTAAAATAATAATTTTTATTATTTTTTCTATTTATATTATCTTTTTCAGTTTAATTTTTAGTGTTAGTGGTGTTAGCGGTGGAGTTAAGGTGATATTGGTGAATATTTATATTTATTATATATTATATTATAGAATATTTATAATTTTCTTTACAAATTAATAAATATATATACAAATTAATATGTATATTAAAAAATTATAAATATATATAATTTTATTAAATAAAAATTTATTAAAGAAATTCATAAATACATAAATATTTAGGTTGTGTTTTTTTTTTTTTTGAATTTAGGCGGGTTTTTACTATTCAAATTATTTTCTTCCTAAAATATATCAAAGGATTATTTTTTTTTCTATATTATAATACAAATTTATTTTATATTCAAAATATCGCATCATCTTCATTTTATATCACATTAAACAACTATTCAAAATTTCAAACTCAAAAACTAAAGCCTACAAACATACACACCCTTAGGAACAAATATATTTCATACGTATAGACGTAAATATTGCAATTTATCCTACTATAATTTAAATTCAAAAAAAAAAATTGTTTGAATAGAAATGTGATATATAAAATTTATATATTTTAATATAAAAAAAATAATAAATAAATTTAGGGAGTACATTCAATTGAGATTTTAATGAATTTTTTTGGATTTTAAAGTACGTGGATTTAGAAAATCCACATAGTGAATTCGATGGATTTTAGTAATTGATTTAGATGAATTTTTACAAACTTATTAAATTATTTATGGTTTTATATGGATTTTGTAATATTATAAAATAATGTTTTTATGAATATATATTAATTATATAAATTTATATCAAATACAAATTTTATAAATATATTACCATTCAATATATCAAATTAATTTTATATGTTTTTATTAGTTATTATTATTATTATTTATATAATTTTTTTACATAAAATATAAATACGTAGATAAATAAAATAAAAAATATAATTTACAATTTTTGAAAAAAATATTAAAATAAAAAAAAAAAGAATTACACCAGAATGATAATATAGTATATTCTATAATTAAAAAAAAAAAGAGAATTACACCAGAATGACAATATATTATATTCGACCATTGAAAAAAAAAAAGACGACAATAATAGATATTTATTATGATAATAGTATTTTTAAAAATATATTTATAATATAAAAGTATATATTTTTTAAAAAAATTGATAATAATTTACTAATATTTTCTAATTTTAAATTATTATTTTTATTAAAAATTATAATAATATTAATAAATATTATCATATTATTTATCGGTTATACAACAACAACAATAATAATACTAATAATTTTAAAAATTCGTCAAAATACACTATACAAAATTTGCACAATTTTCAATTAAAATCAATAGATTTTGAAAATTTATGAATTATTGAATACCTTAAAATTTTAAAAGATTTTTAAAAGTTTGTATCGAATACCTACGGATTTTAAAAGACTTTCAAAAGTTTATATTGAATACCTCCGGATTTTCAAAGACTCTTAAAAATTTGGATTTAATACCAAATTTTAAAAGACTTTTAGGCATTCTCCAACCCACTGCATCAAAAATTGGGGGAGGGGCTACAACCCACCCCAAATCACCCTATATTTTTGCAGTTTTGTACAATGTTACTCCAATTTACTCTTATACCATTTGGAACGTGCCGGAGCTGACACGCCCGGCGTCCAGGCCCAAAGGCCCAAGCCAGCCGTCCCTTGTGCACAACAAGCCTGAATATACCGAATAATGCGGGATAAGTAAGGCAGGACGCATACCTGTACCAAAGACATATGCCGTTGATTAGCTTTACAGGACCGGGGCTCGCACACATGGGACGGGCTATGGCCGAGAACTTGGGCAGAAATGTCTGTTCGTGACACTCTCCCCCACTCAAAGTCGCAAACGCCCTCGTGCGACGCCACTTTGAGTGCACCGACGTTATTTCTACTGTACCTCCACTCAATTTTTTGAGTGAAATTTTTGTAGTATTTTGTGGTGTTTTGTGTATATTTGTTATTTTTTTGGGTGTATTATGTAATTTTTATTTTTTTTAGAATGATGATATATAATTTTATATTTTAAAAAGTTATATGCAATTTTATTTTTTTGAAAAATAATGTATAATTTTATTTTTTTAAAAATGATATATAATTATATTTTTTTTAAAAAAATGATATATAATTTTATTTTTTTAAAAGTGATGTATAATTTTATTTTTCTTAAAATTATTTTATTTGGTAATAGTTATTAATTATAAATGTTAATTTTCATATATGTAATTTTTAAAGAAAATATAAATTATATATGTATAGATTATAATGTATAAAATAAATTAAAGTTGGGGTGTTATATTTATAAATATGAAAATTATATAAAAAATAATATATGGTTGAATAAAATCACCGTAGATGAATTGCATTTTTACTGTCGCTACTACAAAAATGGACCGGAGGGTTACTAACCTAAGTGGTTCTACATGATTTCTTATATTATATATTATTAAGTTAATTAAATTGATTTATAATTGTTAAGTATGATAAATAGTAAATTTTAATAAGAATATAAACGTGTCAATTGAAGTGGGACGGACAAAAAAAGTAAAATGAGACAATTGAAATGGATGAAAGTATTAATTATAAATAAATAAAAGTATATTATAGAAAATTTGTTATCTACAAAAGAATATCTATATTACATAAAACTTTTATTGCTATATAATTTTAAAAATATTTATATACATATTCTATTCTTTTAAAAAATATATATAAATTTATTTTAAAATTATTAATATTATTCATTCCTACTTAGGTAAAAATGAGCAATATAGTTAAATAATTTAATTAAAATTAAAAAAATTATAAAATATAATTAAAGTATATAATTATATTTTCAATTAAAAAACAAAAATATTAGACATACAAAAATAGAAAATATAAACAAATTAGGTAAAACGAAAGAAATACTATTAATTATTCCATATGTCCGTCTCTAAGGGTTATATTTACCTTTTACGTCATTGTACTTTAATATTAAAATATACTTATATTTGTATTAATTTTTATACAAATGTCATTGTATCAGTATTATAAGAAGTTAATGGAAATAATTTTGCAATTTTTATTTAATTTATACTATATTTTGATATAACAATTAATATTCAAATATTAACCTACAATCAGTAAATAAGATCGGAGATAGTATATAAAAAATACTCCCTTCGTCTCAAAACTATATACTGGATTGTATTTGACACGAGATTTAAGGAATATTGATATTATATTGGTAGTGGGTGAAAAGTACGGATAAAAGACTTTTTTTTTTTTTTTTTTTGCCTTTATGAGTGTATTAATGTAATAATTATTGATAATTATGTAATAATAATGAGAAAGTAAGAATAATTTTATAATGATATGATTATAAAAATAAGACTATTATTTCAAGACAGACAAAAATAATAAACAAAATTATTGTATTGCAAGGACCGAAAAATAAAGATAACAATTATTTTGGAACAGAGAAACTTTATATGCAGCCACGTTACACAACACAAGGCAGTACTAGTTAGTGATAACAAAAAGAAAAAAAGAAACTGCTCCATGGTGGACACGTGGCGACGGCAGAGTGTCTATATATATATTTTTAATAATGGTTGGATTAGCAGATAAGATTAATGGTTTAATCTCAAAATTAACATTAATTAATCATTCTTTAGTTTGCGGTTTCTTCTGCCACTCTTCTCTCTCTCTCTCTCTCTGTGGTTCCAGTTTCGCAAAATCCTCCACCTTGCACGCTCCGAGTGCCATTGCAACAACTGAATAGGGTTTTCCAGAATGCCCTCCCTCAGATCCCTTCCCATTCGGATCCTTCTTCCCTCTCCGGTAACTCCATTTCTTCCATAATCCATTTCTTCATTGCACTGCATTGCACTGCACTGCACTGCATGAATGATTCATTACACACACGCTCGCCATCGTCAAATGTCGATTCGAACGGTTTCTTTATGATACATTCTCTTCTCTTGTATTGCAGTTATTGTCGAATTTTCTGTGCATTTCTGATTTGATTTTGTGTAAATTTTGTTTATAATCGCCGCTTGTTTTGGATGCCTATGTTTTATCGTTTGGATTGCGGTGAATGTTGATTGAATAATGGTTTTGATTTAGGAAATTAGGTTTTGCGATTGATCTGCTGTTTGCTGCGTTTCTCTGTTTTCTTATTTGGGGAAGCAAAGCACATTGTGAATGAATTTTGATGATTCGATTCCTGTGAGAATTAGTCTCTACTCTCATCACCATGAAAGGCTCGATTCCGAAGGAGAATCTGCAGAGCAATGGCTGTTTACAGAGTGAGCTCGAATCGTTGCTGCTTCAGCAGCAGCATAACCGTGATTTGATGCTTCAAAGGGAGAGGGAATTAGACATTCACCGGAGCGGCAGTGCGCCACCGACCGTCGAGGGCGCATTAGGCGCTGCCGGCAGCCTATTCCGGCATCCGAATTTCGACGGCGCAAGCAGCAGCAGCGGCGGTATTAACAATGCCGCTGCCCTCAGTTTGCTGACAGAAGAGGAAATCCGATCCCACCCTGCTTATTTGGAGTACTATTATTCGCACGAAAACATCAATCCTCGACTGCCACCGCCCCTGTTATCCAAGGAGGATTGGCGCGTCGCGCAACGCCTCAGGGCTGCCGGATTCGACTTAGGTAGAAGCTTTTCCGATAGCCGTGGAGGAGGCTTGTCAATGTTCTCAACCCCACCGGGGCTATCGATGAAGAAACTGGAAGATGATGTAATGGAGCTGAGAAAGGCTGCTTTCAGAAACCTGTCAAGGAAGAATTCGACCGAATCGTTGGAAAAGGCTGCCTTAATGAACCTATCTCAGAAGAACTCGGCAGAGTCGTTGGACAAAGCTGCTGCTGCTGCTGCTTATATAAACCTGTCTCAGAGGAATTCCCTGGAGTCATCACTCGACAAGGCTGCTTTTATGAACTTTTCTCGGAAAGGTTCTGCCGATTCAACGGCGGACAAAGCTTCTGCGGCTTTGATGAATCTATCGTGGAAAAAGCCGCAAGACTTTCCGGACAATGGCTTGAACATGGCTGGCTCGACTTCGGGAATGGGAGTTAGAAGGAAGAGCTTTGCAGACATACTTCAGGTTTCGCCTACGCCGTTAATTATCACATTGTTATGTAGTTTTCGTTGAATAACTGTGCTGTTAAACTTTGTGTTTCCAGGAAGGTCTTAGCCAACCTCCAAAGTCGAACCTTTCACGAGCATCTAGTCAGAATTCGGTTGCAGAAGCTCTCGATTCAATGAGAATATCGAATTCTCACGCAGACGAGATGTGGGCTAAAGCCGAATCTTTAGAAGCCACCATGTCCGGTGCTCAGAGCTGCATTCCAACCAATCCTTGTTCCTTGAGATCCTCTCTGGTTTCCGCCAGTCCTTCGGGGGATGGAGTTAATCGATCCTGCAACATCAACTCTGCTGCTGCTTCGATGAACGCCTCTAATCTTCATCCGCCGAGCATTTTCGAGATAGCTGATGTAGCTGCTGCTGCTGCTTCTCTTTCGGGATTAAACATGCCCAACGGTCAGCTTCACCCCGAAAATATAGCGGCGCTGCTTCAAATGGGAATCCCAATAAGTCATCAACAGAATCTGCTGCAGCATTACGGCGACATTTCTAGAGTAAAAGCTCTGCCCGACAACATGAATGCTGCTGCCAATTTGATGAGGGCTAACGGATCAACAACCGGCCTTAATGTCCCGAAATCAGCACTGTACGAGGCTGTGAATTTTCCGAGGAGAACATCTTCGACTGCTAATCTTCAGCACAGTGCACCGCCGGCCAATTTTTCGACTTTGGAAGATCTCAAACTCCTGTGCCAGAACAATAATCTCACCGGCGACCAGACGAGACTTCATTATCCTGCTGTGGATCCACATCAACTACAATACATGCCGAGGAACTTGCCTCAAATTCCAGGGAATTCTTCTAAAGGGATTCTTTATGCCGGCGAACTTCAGGCTTTGGAGAAGGCTTATCTCGAAGCTTTGTTTCTGCAACAGGCGCAGCAATATCATCATCAGCCGCATTTCTTGCCGAAGAATGGCAGCATTAGCAATCTGTACCCTCCGTTTCCTCCGTGCGCAGCTTCATATCAAGAAAACATTGCATTGGCTCAGAGTTCCGGAATTGGCTCCAGGGGAGCTTCTCTAATTCAGAACGAGAAAGCTGCTGAAATGGCGTCGGCTTTGAGAAATGCGAAGGGAGACGCCGGTGGCTTTTTGCATCCGCAGACGGGTAGCAATGCTGCTAAAGGGAAATTCGAGTCGCTGTTAGATGTTCTCAAGAACAATAAGGCTAAAGCATTGGAACTTTCCGACATTACTGGTCATGTTGTTGAGTTCAGGTACATCCTCCCCGAAATTGGCATATATATATATATATATTTATTTGATGACATTATCTTTTACTATATGTATTGGCTTTTGTCGTATTTCTGCAGCATGGATCAGTTCGGGAGCCGTTTCATTCAACAGAAGCTGGAGACGGCTACTGTCGAAGAAAAGACGAGGGTACTACTTGAGATCATTCCCCTGGCTCGTGAGCTAATGGTTGATGTCTTTGGGAATTATGTCACTCAGAAGGTGATTTAAAACATCTGTTTGGATGATGTAAGAGTGATCGTATTGTCTTAACCGGTGCTGTTTTTATGGTCGAATAGTTCTTCGAGCATGGAACCAAAGGTCAACAGAGAGAATTAGCGCGCCACATGATAGGCCATGTTTTGCCGCTTACGCTACAAATGTATGGCTGCCGAGTCGTACAAAAGGTTCCTTCTTCAGCTTTTTGTTTTTATCCGTTGATCGTTGCCCCCGAAGGACTATGTTAGGACATTCATTCTAATGGCAGGCCTTGGAAGTCGTCGATATGGAGCTGCAGGCCGAGATGATAAAGGAGCTCAACGGTTCGGTGATGAAATGTGTTCATGATCAGAATGGTAATCATGTGATCCAGAAATGCATCGAGTGCGTCCCGCAGGAACACAATCAGTTCATCATATCATCGTTCTTTGGACAAGTTGTGACTTTGTCCACACATCCTTACGGCTGCCGTGTGATTCAGGTTCGATTCGTTGCATCCTTTGCTTTATTTATAACATTTTGAGCACAAATCACTCTAATATAAAATACGTTTCTTGTCATCGTGTAGAGGGTTCTCGAGCATTGTACAGATCCGAAAACTCAAGAAATCATCATGGAAGAGATAATGTGTTCGGTTTGTAAGCTCGCTCAAGACCAATACGGAAACTACGTGATTCAGGTACAAGCGTTTCCTTACACCATATAAGTTTGTCCGATCACAAAAAGGATTGAGTATCGTTGTGTTAGCGAGGCCATTCATGGGCTCGGGTAGGAAAGAATGTAGATTTCGTCGAAATGGTGTAAGAATGTCTCCGAATCCTTATCATTTGCTAAGGTTTAAATGTAAGCCTAATTCGATATCCACTCGTATTCGTTCAGCACGTTGTGCAGCACGGAAAGCCGCACGAGCGATCCACGATCATCAACAAACTTTCCGGGCAGATAGTGAAAATGAGTCAACAGAAGTTCGCATCTAACGTCGTCGAGAAGTGCTTAACTTATTGCAGTCCGGAAGAGCGCCAGCTCTTGGTGAACGAAATGCTCGGTTCGACTGATGAGAACGAGCCGCTCCAAGTAATCTCCACCCCTCCGACGAATTAAAAACTTCCTTCTTTTCCAAAAGATAACATTTTTTTTCTTTTTTTTTGCCTTGAATTTCAGGCGATGATGAAAGATCCGTTCGGGAACTACGTGGTGCAGAAGGTTCTGGAGACGTGCGACGACAAGAGCCGGGAATTGATCCTCTCCCGCATCAAGGCCCACTTGAATTCACTCAAGAGGTACACTTACGGCAAGCACATTGTCTCCCGCGTCGAGAAGCTCATCACGACCGGAGGTAAATTATAAATTATCCAATGCTGCAGTGTTTCTTTCGTTTTCCCACCACTAATAATTATCGTATACCAGAAAAGCACACGGGGCAATCCTCCTCGACGTGAAGGTGCAAACAACGGTTCTGTAAATACATGAATCGGGTTCGGGTCAGGCTCAGGCTCAGGGTCCGTTCCCATTGGGGTAAGACGAGACTAAGAGTATCTAACTATCTATCTATATTTAATATCTATATATGGTTTTCGTTGTATATGCATGCATGGAGTAGCTCGCTCGTTCGTTCGGAGAAATAATAAGATCGATCGATCGATCGGGTTTCTGGCCGTCTTGCTAGTTAGTGTAAAGCTTTAGCCAACGATATAGTTTGGGGGATTGGTGTGGCTGGATAAGCTGTTGATGAGGTTTTGATCACTCTGTGTTCTGCATTTCTTGTAGTTTGGGATGATGGTATACATATATATATATATATATATAGAGAGAGAGAGAGAGAGAGAGAGAGAGAGAGAGAGAGATTGAGAGAGAGGAGATGCTGAGATATACATGCATATGGTGTTTGTAACAAAGGTGAAATTAAGGTAGCAAGTAGAAGAAGATTGAAATGTAAGGCAGGGAATGAGTTGTTACCATCCATGGGGAACTGAATCTGAGTGTAAATTATTGAGCAATCAGGGATGATTTGTTTTCAATGATTGAATGAATGAATTATTCAGATTTTAATTTATTTTACTCGGAAAATAATTTATTTTAATTCTCTTAAAGTTCCTATCTCTCGTTTTATATATATATATATATATATATTTTTATCCGGTCTTCAATTATAATTTTGTTGTACACAATTTCCTACATATCTTTAATGACTCTCTATTTAAAAATTTAATTTGTAAAATTACTTTTATATTCTCTTTATATATATTTTTTTATTATTTATTTTATTATTTTACCCTAGATAAAAAAATCTCAAATCAATTTAGAACCAAAAGCTTTCGACTTAGCAACTTTACTCAAATCCTTCCACCCCAGCGACGTGACAACAATGAAGAAATCGACTTCTCATTTCTCTTCGGCAGTGAAGACGATTGCGGCGAACGTAAATTGAAAGTGTCTGAGGTTTGAATTTCATTTCAACTTGTTTATATTTTAGACGATGGATGATAAATCTCCTCCCAACCAACACCAGCACCAACACCATTTCAAACGATTGCGATCTTGTACAAATATTACAAGTCAAAGTCGAGTCCATACTAAAGTGACTTCTAATATTCATTTAGGTTTAACATTGAAGTAAAAATTTTGATTTTATTTTGACAGTATTAATCGAATCTATTTTTTTTTTTTTATGCAAGGTGATAAATTTGAACAATTTTAAAGATTCATTATATATTTTTGCTAATGAAGTACAATTTGTCTTTTTTTAAAAGTTGTTTTCATATAACTATATATAAATATAATTTTATTTATATTTTCAAAGTCTCTCAAATTAATGTATATGTTCAATTTCTTATGGAGATAAAGTCGTGATTTGATTTTAGAAAAAATTAGAAAAATATGTTGAAAGGTAATGTACAACTTCCAGTTGCCAAATCTTAATATCCTTAGTGTATGATAAGTCGACGATAATAAGAACGGATAGCATGAGATTTCAAAAGGTAATGAACATGTTCAAACAGAGAGCATATTCGTTTGCGGTGAATTATGCAACTAATTTTGTCTAGAACAATTTTACTATCTATGAAAATATTATTGCTTAATGTCTATACAAGGGCATTACAATGCATATTACTTACTCTATGTCCAGAGTAAACTAAATTGCAAGTTAATAAAAAATTAATTTTAATTACTTTTATTTAGGTTTAATGTTAGAATATTTTTTCGTTATTTTAAAAAGAAATTATATGTAATTCGGGGATACATTAGAATGTTCTTTCATTATTTTAGAAATTATATGTAATTCGGAGACACATATGATAACGTGATTTATTTCTGAGTTAATAATAAATTGTGTATCTTCGTCCTCATGTTGGTTATTTTGGTTTGATTTTCAAATTAAAGTTTTGAATGAATTGAAATATTTTTATAATTTTAAGTGTTGCTTCTACACAAATTTTACTAAATTTTATTTCTCTTTATTCACTTTTACTTTTCGATGTTATTTTTATTATTTTGATGTAATACATTTATATCTTGTAGAAAATATATTAAGATCCTTATATATAAACTTTTTTTTATTATTGATTTATATATTTAATTTTTATTAACAGAGATAGCATTTCTTAGTGTTCTGCTATTTTTAATTATTATTATTATTTTTTTTTGATATAAATGAGTTTTTTTGAAAAAAATTATGAAAGAAGTGCATTTTACTACTACCCGTCAAACGCTATTTAAGCATTTTTTGGACATGCCAAAAGGTACTATTCCGTGGGATCATGTTGAAGCGTTAGTGATTCAATTTGATGGATCAACACGAAAGTTCACACTTGTTAGAAATATTGTTGTACAATTTTCATATGAAGAGTTTTAAGTCACAATAGGACTTCATTGTAGAGGTCTACAGGTAGCTGATAACATATTATCAACATTTGAATTACTTACTAACTTGCTCAATAGAAAGGTAAGTAGCGTCAAATACAAAAGTAGGGATGAAGTCATGAAAGAATTCCCTCTCTAGCAAGGCCATGTGATGTACCAATTGTTCCCCGATTCATGAGGTGGATCGAGACGAAATTTATTGGGGATGGTGAAAGAAGTTCGAAGTTAGCCGAAAAAATTAAGCAATGAGATATTATTGAATTCACAGTTAGAAAAGTAGAGGAGTCATTGATAAAAGAGGTAATATCTAAATTTTATTTAATTTACAATGTAATATTCTAATTTGTCAGAAACAAGATCCGAAAAAGCTTGATTGTGGTATATTTGTGTGTCTTTAGTATGAATGTTACATCCATGATACATCTACTTGGTGGGACTATGAGAAGATAGTTAATATTGAACGCTATCGAGCTATAGTTGCTACTTCTTTATTAAGTAATGCTCGAATTGAATGAAAAAAAAAATCCTATTGTGATCTAAACATATCCCAATTAAGGAATTGAACATTCTAAGTTTGCAATGACAATAAACACAAATAAAACTATATAGATTTAGTTGAAACGATATACTATTTTAATTATTCCAACATTCGCCAATATTATTGTTAATCACCCCCTACCGATTTCCCTCAAAGATAGAATTGGTCCAATACTCAGATGAGAACGTATAATAAAATCCCTAGCAAGTGACATAGATTTCAAAATTTTACTTATTTCTTGTTCAAACACCTGTCTCTTTGGAGCATATGTAGTTTTTTTAAAAAACAGTTGTCCAAGTTTTTTTGTTGTGACGTGAGTAGCTTCTTATCACCTAAAAACGCAAAAATAAAATATAAAAATCATGTACATATATATTATATATTATTACAAAATATAAATATATTTACATTTTTTAAAGTTATCTACTATGTGTCTTAGGCAAAAAAAAAATATACTGACTACCAGGAAACAACATAGGAATAGCCTTAAACAATCCAGGACGATGGTTTGAGAAAAATGTATATGCATTTCATTCTAATCGACTATTCATACCAATGATGATTCTCAATTTAAGACAAAATTATTTTCAATTATTATCATTTTCGGTATCGACAACTGCATTTAAAGAATAATATAAAATGATATTAAAATTGCAATTTCCGACTCAATCAAAACATGTATATATAAAAATTTTCATATAAATATACATGCATATGAAATGTAAAGAGATCATCATTTGGATGAGAGTCACAACACTTAATAAACAACCATGATACTTAGTTTTTATATGTGTACCATCAAGAAAAATTAATGGTCTGCATCCTCGGATAAACCCAATCAGACAAACTTCAAAGCACAAAAATAGCCATTGGAACTTATTAGTGCCAAACTCAATCTCTAGATCAGCAAAATACTTCATGGGTTAGTGTGCGTCACTGCAGCGCAATACCAACGCAACTTGTCAAAACAATTTCTCCCAGCCTCATGAATATCTTTAATTGCAATTTCATTTTCTATCAACGCTTTCTTATACTTGAGATGTCGTGCCTACATAGGATATATTTTGTAATATTATTGAGCTTATAGGAAGGTTCATCTTAACTTTTCTTTCACAATATGTGATACCCATGTCGAGTTTGTTTTTGGATGACTTTTACTTTGAATATTTTCTTGCCCACAACTATGATCTAGGTTGCATTTTCTAATGCAAAATAATCCATCAGGAACATGCTTTGAAGCATATATCTTCCAATCACAACATTTCACAGAGAAAATGACAATAACTTCTTGTTGATCATTTTTAACATACTTAAATGCCTTGAAAGTTGCAATACTATTGTTCATCAAAACTTTTCGATACTTATATGCATTTTTAAATGATTGTCCTTCTCTATGTATTCCATGACGCCGTGCATGGTTATTTTCACAAAGTACTGCAATATTTGTATTATACATCACATCCATGATATTAGACCTTTATACATAATTTGACTTGTTAGAATTAAAACACCAAAATTATATATTATTTTTGAATAAAAAAGAAAACTTGCATAATTTAGATTACATACTCGGAAGTTTGTTTTAAAATATTATGATCAATGAATATTTTACGTCTGCCTATAGCAACCATGTTCAATTTCAAGAATAAATACAACCGACACATATCTTTTTAAATCTTTATCTCCATCCAAATTTACATATAACTTGTGAACTAGGGATAAAAATTGTAGTTTCATAAATATCGGATCAATATCGCTCTATTTTTTTGCAAGGCTTGCATAGATATCTATCAACATAGTGTCTATTCGATTGACTTTATATGCAGTTCATTTTTATATTTTCACACAACCAACATTTTCCATCCTTCTTGATCTTCTATTATTGCTATAATAATAAAAATATAGCAAATAAATAATTACTTTAAGTATAACTTAAGTTTTTATTGTTCTTCATTTTCAATTGCTATTATGTAAAAATACAACGATAAAACTATCGACATAATATAATCAATTAAATATCACAAAATACTATTAAAAAAGAAAAAATAAAAAAACTATAACCACAATATTCCTATATGAGCCTAAAATTTTCACATGAATACTTACCATCTATATCTGACGGCTATAAAATTGAAAAAGATCATAGAGATAATACAAAAATAAATATTTAGCTCCAAACCATACAAGTCTAAACTTGTTACAAAGAATTTTGAACAAGATCATACATTCACTTTCAAATATTACTATCTTATCTCTGTGTATGTGTATTTTATTTGCATTTCTATTTTGATATGAGATAAACATACTATATTCTTGCTAATGGTAAGTATTCTTCTTCTGATAAAAAGAAATTAAAATTGTAGCTCTCCTAATAGATTAACAAACTACAAAATATAATAACTCTCAATGAATTAAGAAGATAATAGTTACCGTGTAATAAATTTAGTTATTTATTACACAAATAATCGATAATCTAACAATCTAGTTAAAAAATAAAATACTGTAAAAATTTTTAAATCTAAACATTACTATCATTGATTATATATTATAGATTGAATGAAATTTTCATTTGTTTCTGGTTGATATCACCATCCGTCGCTTCCATTTTGTTCGGAATAAGAAACATAAAATAAAATTAGGGTTCACGTATAAAATCGGGGGATAAAAATAAGAAATATGAAATGAAGTAAATAAGGACATTTCAGTACTTTAAAATGGGTAGGGAGTAATAAGAAAAAATTTATTAAAATATAGAGTAAAAAAATATTTACATATAGGGAGTAAATAAAAATTTATATTAAAAATTAGAAATTTTTTTTGAAAATTGCCCTAGTTTATATAGAAAAGCTATTTTTTTGGCCAATCACGTCAGTTTACTTATAACAGTATATAACTTTTTATTTAATATAAGGTAAATGTTATGTAATACTCTCTTTCTCATTTAATTGTATGTTCATTTGACTAGACACGGGTTAAAAATAAAAATAAAAATATTATCTTTTCTTTTTATGGTAAAAGAAAAAGTAGGAAACGTAGTATTTTTTACTTAAAAAAAAAATATAAATAAATTTAGATGATAACTAAAAATATAAAAGTGAGAATAAATTTAGATCACAAAGGAAATATATAATAACTAGTGGTGTATCCGTGCATTGCACGATTTGTATAAATTATTGAAATAATATTAGATAAAAAAAAATTTATTATATTGGTAAATATGTTACAAGAAGATACACATACTTTTCAAACAAAACAATAATTAATACATAATTTACTATGTGGTGATTTTTCGGTCATACTCATGAAGGTGGAGCTAGTACTATAAATATATAAGCACGATTTATAATTAATAATTTATAGTAAAGTCCATAATTATTATAAATATATATATAGTGTTATGAACATACCAAAATAAAAAATATATATACATTTATGCTTGACAAAGAATATATACTACTCCCTCTGTCCCGAAACTATAGTTTTAGTTGTGTTGGACACGGAATTTAAAAAATATTGATATTATATTGATAGTGGGTAAAAATAAGTATATGTAAAAAATATTTTTGCATCTGTGAGTGTATTAGTGTGAAATGTAGTAACAATTGTGTAATAATAATGAAAGAGTAGGGGTAATTATACAGTGATATGGTTATTTATGAAAATAAGACTATTGTTTAGGGACGGACAAAGATAGTAAACAAAATTATTGTATTGGGACGGAGAAAGTATTATTTTTTAAAAAAATTTCTTATATACTACTCCCTCCGTCCCACATAATTTGTCCCTATTTTCTATTTTCGTCCGTCCCACATAATTTGTCCTTTATATTTTTGGAAATATAATTATGCACTTTAATCGCATTTTAAATTTTATAATTTTCTTAATTTTAATTAAACTATTTACTTATCTTAATCTTAATCTATAATTATTTTTACTAAATAATAATTATTTTTACTAATACATTTCTTAATTATTTAGTAATTATACTTTACCTAAATTTTCGTGTCTACAGTAATACACTCATATTACATGGGGCGGAGGGAGTATTATATTAAAATATTACTTTTACACGTAGATTTTTGAATATTAGTATTATATTAATTTATAGTGGAAAATATAAAAATACCCCTATTGAAAGTTGTAAGAGTATTAATTATGTTAAGTAGATAGTAAATTACTACATTGACAAATGATACTTAGGACGAACAAAAATAAAAAATGATATCATTTCTTATGCGACGGAGGAAGTTGAAATCATCATTAATTTCATATACTCCCTCCGTCCCTTAACAATCTATCTATTTTTCCATTTTGGTCCATCTCATAACAAATATCAATTTTCTTTTTTTTTTTTAAATTAATTGTACTATCTACTTAACATTACAAATACACTTCTAATTTACAATATATTACACAAATGTCATTATTTTTATATCATACAATACTAATAAAGTTAATTTAGTCTTTTTATTTTATTTCAATATAATATTAATATTTCTAAAATATAATAAAAAAAATAAAAAATAAAAAAAATGAAAAAAAAAATATATAGATATCGGACAGAACAGTAAAAACCATACAAAATTACATTAATTTACATTAGTCCCAAAGGCCCAATCTAAAGCGAATTACCCGAAATACCCTCAGAATCCTCCTCCACCAGTTATGTTAAGTTCGAGTCTAGGGTTTTAGCTCCAGAGCCAGTTGCTGATGCAATCGGAAGCTCCTACTGTAATTCAAAGTAAAAACTTGCTGTCAGTTCGATCGAGGAACGAAAATGGCTTCCTCGTTTATGCAGCAGTTCGCGAAACAGAAGAGCATAGTGAAGAGATCGTCCAAGAAGTATTTGGAGGAGGCACTTTACCGGAGGCTATTTAAGGACGGCGGAGAAGAGCAGAGAGTGAGGGAAAAGCTGAACGAATTTCTCAAATCTGGAAAAAGCGCCTTCAAATGGGAAGTAGACCACACTCTGAAGATTCTTCGCAGCCGCAAGCTTTACGCTCCGGCGCTCAAGGTAACCCCTCGTTGAGGGGGATGATGATTCGTTGGCATTTACATGTCTGTTTGTTTCCGGCAGAGGTTTTGGTAACCAGAGGTCAGATTTAATCTGCATTTGGCTCTGCGAAATGAATTTTTTGATCCGCTGCTGATTTTCCTCCCTAGTGTTTCTTAATTTGACAAAGTCATAGTATTTCCCTGTGCTGTAGATGTTGACGCATTTACACGAGTACATGTATATTGTTGTTGATTGATGGTGAATTAGTGATGATGTATAGAGCAGATTTTTGGTTGGTGGATGGAGTACGGTTTAGGAATAATTGTGGCTTGTGTTTCATGGATGATGCAAGTTATGCTCAAGAATAGTTTTCGAGATTCCCCTCCCTTATATGAGAGTTGCATTGATTGTTCTTTATGGCTAAACAAATAGGAAATGTATGTTAATTTTTCATCTACTTAGTGCCTTTCCAAATCCTGAATATGCTTATATATATATGTATGCATAAAGGTATTTTGTCAGTAGTGTTAATTTATGATTATCATTCTGCTATTAGGGTATATCCGAAATTTGTATCTCATGGTATGCGGGAAAATTTTTTTTGTTTTAGTTGCTTAAAATTGAAGGGGCTATTGTTTCTGCTGCATATATAAGTTGCAATTACAAAATTTCATTTGGATTCTGAAATAGTATTGTCATTTGTGCAGTTTTAACACTTGTAAAGAGTACTTCATGTAGAATGCATGCAAGAGTAGAAAAGTTGTGAAGCGAAAGTGAGAAAATATAGGCTGTAGTTTTAGATAGAGAAAAGAATTAAGTTAAGCTGAAAGATTCATTTCTATATAGTGATGAGAATCTCTTAAAGTCTTTGATATGAAAGCGTCTGATCCTCATACGCCTATATGTAAAACTATGGAATGGGATAGCTAGTATACAGTTTAGCAAATCTCACTTGACTTTTAGAACAAGAAATTAGATAAATAGTGAATGTTGATATCTGTTGTTATATCAGTCTGCTTTCTTATTTGCTGTTTCGATCCATTTGGATCTTCATAACTATGTGCGTGTGAGTGTATGCTTGCAATAAAAGTCTTTGTCCTTTATTCCTTTCTCTACAGCTCTCAGAGACTATGGAAAAAAGAGGGATGAATAAAACAGTAAGTGATCGAGCAATCCATCTTGATCTAGTCGCAAAGAGTCAAGGCATTGCTGCTGCTGAAGGGTACTTCGTCAGTCTACCTGAATCCTCGAAAAGTCATCTTATTTATGGCACTCTTCTTAATTGTTACTGCAAAGATTTAATGATTGGAAAAGCAGAAGCTTTATTCGAGAAGATGAAAGAACTTAATTTGGAACTCACTTCTATGCCGTACAACAGCCTTATGACCCTATACTTAAAAAGCGGACAGCCGCAGAAGGTTCTGGCATTAATCCAAGAAATGAAGGCCAGTGATATCATGCTCCACACTTACACTTACAATGTCTGGATGAGGGCTCTTGCTGCTGTGGGCGAGACATCAGAGGTTGAAAGAGTTATTGATGAAATGAAAAGGGATGGCCGAGTTGCTGGTGATTGGACGACATACAGTAATTTAGCATCGATTTATGCTGATGCTGGACAATTTGATAAGGCTGAGAAAGCACTCAAGGAACTCGAGGCTAAAAATTTGAGCAGAGAACTCTCGGCTTACCAATTCCTAATCACATTGTATGGGCGTACCGGAAATCTTCTTGAAGTTTACCGTGTTTGGCGATCGCTGAGGCTAGCTTTTAAAGAAACAGCCAATATAAGTTACCTGAATATGATCCAAGTCTTGGTCAACTTGAATGACTTACCAGGCGCCGAGAAATGCTTCCAGGAGTGGTCAGTTAATTGCTCGACGTATGATGTCCGTATTGCAAATGTCCTTATTGGAGCTTATCTCAAACAAGATTCAATTGAGAAGGCTGAAAAGATCAAAAGGCAGGCCAAGAGGAGGGCATTGAAACTGAATGCCAAAACTTGGGAGCTTTATCTCGATTATTATCTGAAGAAGGGAGTTATGAAATCAGTTGTGTATTGTATCGACAATGCAACTTCAGCTGGAAGAGGGAATGGCAGCAAGTGGATCCCATCACCAGCTGTTGTCGAGAAAGTGATGCAACATTTCGAGCAAAACAAGGATGTTTTAGGCGCCGAGCGGTTCCTGGAAATCTTGAAAAAGTCGAAGGATGAACTGGGAGCCGAGGTGATTGAACCCTTGATTAGAACTTATGCAGCTGCAGGGAGAAAGAGCCCGATCATGCAAAGACGTGTTAAGATGGAGAATGTCAAATTGAGCGAGGAAGGTCAAAAACTGCTGGATGAGATCACCGAGGACTGAGATCTAAAGATTACTAGCCGAAGATCAAGATCGACTGTTGTGTTCTGTGTGTCGGAAAAAGGTTAGTTCGTAATTTTCTTGATCTGGTAAGTATGGTGAGATTTAATTGCATCAGCTGTTTAATTTGATTTCTTCAGTTCTTGCCAAGATGTGTTGCTAAATGCATTTCTGATCAAGTTTTTGCTACTTTTGGGTAACCACATAATAAGGATTATACTATACTAGTTGGCTTCACAGGTTTTTTTTTTTTTTATTTCTTCTTTATATTATTATTTTTAACTAGTTTTTATTTTATCATCTGGTTTGAATTGAATTGCATTTCATGTTGTAATTCAAAGTGTCTAAGAATTGAGCTAAGAGATTTACACATATACATGCTACCTGTATTTTCTGAGATTGTACTTGCTTTTTATCACTTCTCAACAGCTAGAAGATACTCCTTGTGTCCCAGAACTATAATTTGGGTTGTGGTGTTTGGCACGGAATTTGGTAGTAAATAAAAAGTACGGGTAAAAAACTTTTTTACCCTTAGGAGTGTATTAGTGTAAAAAGTAGTGACAATTGTGTAATAATAATGAAAAAATAAGAGTAGTTTTATAGTTATACGATTATTTATGAAAATGATACTGTTATTTTAGGAGACACAAAAATAGTAAAAGGGGCGGAAGGAGTATATTTTTTCAAAATAATATGGGAACTATAGATGTTATTAGCCATCCGTACCACTGCAGAAATACCATTCCATTTTATTTTATTTTATTTTAGTTATATTTGTATTATATAAAATTTTATTTTCTATTCAATAATATATATTGATATATATTTTTTTTAAAAAATTAGTTTTAATAATAAATAATTTTGATATAAATATAAATGGTTATGTATTTTTTTATTGAGTCATAGAAAAGAAAATATAATGTGAAGAATTCAAGATTTACTGCAGCGATCAATTTTCCGTGTTAAAACCACCGAAGTAGTATAATGATTTTGATTCAATGACGAATCCAAACAAATTTTAGATTTCAGAACTCAATAAATAAAGTCACGTTGTAAAATTGATATTAAACCAAATTTTATTAAAATCATAAAAATCAAGCATGTTGAAACATTATCAAAAGCATCAAGTATGCCCTAACAAATAAAATAATAATAAAAATAAATATTCTATCTTTTCAGCTACAATTCACACCATTTCATTATATAAATAAAAATATACATAACAAATATAAATATATGTAATTAATTATATAACAAATAATAAATTTATTTTAAAATTATCAATATTATTAATTACATAAACAAATGAATAAATAATATTATAATTCATTATTATTAAATAATTAAATATTATTTTAAATATTATATTCCTAATAAAAGGTGTCAACGATGTTGAGACGAAGAGAGTTTATGATTTATGTCTTTTATAAATACAACTGCATTTTGTGTATTTTTTTCGTACATAAGAATATGACAGTCACTAGGTTTTGTATACCAAAAGTGCATGCCTTGGAATTTTTTACTATGAGATTAATTTTGATTGATTTTTTTTATTATACAATCAATTTGAATATATATTTTGTAATGCTACCAATTCAATTATTTTTATATATTCATTCATTTTTGTTCTTAACAGGAGAAAACAAAAACCAAAAAATGAATAAATAGATAAAAGAATTGCCCTCAACATTAGACAGAATCTCGAGACCTGAAACATAATTTCATTATAATTTTATTTATTTTATCTCCATTGACATCGTTCTTGAATATGTGAAACTTTCAAAAACTAAAATATATTTTGGTGGGAAGTATATAAAATGAATATAAACATATATACAATCTTATACTCACTCATTCCCTTAACAATCTACCTATTTTTTCATTTTGATCTGTCTCGTAACAAAATATTCATTTCTTTTTTTTAGTAATTGTACCGTCTACTTAACATTTCAAATACCCTTCCAATTTACAATATATTACACATGTATCATTATCTTCGTATCATACCATACTAATAGAGGTAATTTAGTCTTTTTACCTTTAATTCTACTTTATTTCAATATAATACTAATATTTTTAAAACTTCTTGCGATATATAAATATGGGACGAAAGAAGTAATATAATTCATATCTAGTACAACTTTGTCCAAGTCTAAGGATCTCATTTACTTTTTTTTTTTTTTTTTTTTTGCTCATATTGATCATTGAATATTAATTATTATATCAAAATACAAATTAAAAAAAAAAATTAAAAAATTACTTCTATTAGTGTATTATAATACTAATAAAATAACATTTGCACACAAAATCATACAAATATATAAGGATATTTTAAATATTAAATACGGACGGAAGGAGTATAAAATATACATATAACTATATCATATTTAATAAAGATTTATGCTCAAATGTAGAAATACACTATTGGTGTCTTTGTTTTGGGGGTTTGAATTTTGGATTGTGATTTTAAATAGTAAAAAATTTGAATTTGAATAGTTGTATGATATAAAAAATAAAAAATAAGTGTTTGATTGATATTTTTTAGGAAAAAAATTTGTGTGAATAATAAAATCCTCACCAATTCTTCAAACAAACACACCCTATATAAATTTTATAAATTAATTATCAATTAGCAATAATTCTAAAACAATACACAATAAACACAACTTTCCTGGATACCAACACGACGCTTAATTGACAACACATGAAATATAAACCGATCACACAAATTATGAACCGACAACAAAACATATACATTAATATAATACAAATTCATCGAATCAGCCGACAACAAATGACAATACTCGACATATTTACGAGTGATCTTAGCAACACAAGACACGAGTAAAATATAACTTGACACTACATGATAACAACCTACGAAACACATTATATTGATTCAAACTATACTACATGATAACAACCTACGAAACACATTATATTGATTCAAACTATACGCTAACAATCCGTAGCTCATATACTGTCAGCACCGTGTTGATAAATCAGTTAGTACCCTAACAATTCCCCGGAAAAACACACTTATGATCAAAACTTCACGTTCAAACGATATGAATCATATCATGGAACCCAATCAACAATGACAAAAATGTAGATTAAGCCACCATTATGCTCTCTAGAAATGTAAATTATGGCTCGAGATTTTTCTTACCAGCAAGATCCTCAAGAGTGAGATTAAGACTCTCGGCAGATCCTTTCTTCACTTCCTCACCCCGAGCAGCCAAGAACTCCTCGACACTACCAGGCTCTCCAAACCATCCCAATCTATCGGCAATCAGGTGCAGATTGTTGCAACCATCACATCTGACCACCACAACGCCTTTCTCGTATGACTCACGGCAAGCTGTCTTCATAGATCTTGTATCGCACACTTTGCACGTAAACATCATGACAAGATCATGTCTTGCAGATATCTTCAAGTTGGAATTTACTCGGTGCCCTGCAGCAGTCTTGTCGTTTTCTGAAGTAGCAGCAGTTTGGGTCGTCCCAGGATTGGGATTTGTGCTGCAACTTTCACATTCTGAAGAATTCTCCGCTGCTGGAACACTGGATTCTGCGACTGTCTGAAGTGTTCGGGTATACTGTTCGTAGCTGCGATGGAAAGAATTTGGACAAGGATGGAAGCTACGCGAGAGCTCTGCAGCAATGAGAAATAGCGAGAAGTGAGAATGCATTTCTGTCTGGAACTAAAGCTAGCACGATTTCACGATTAATTATGAAGAACTAAATTTCCATGTTTTGTCAACTTGTACTTATAAATTTACAGAAATATTCATCATTACATCGACATGAACAGATTTGAAGACAAGTAAGATCTTAGCCTATCGCTACAACTTCCATTGAATGAATAAAATCACTTAGGGGCGGTTGTTACTGTGCTGACTATCAGAGAATATCAATATATATCCGCAGTACATGATATATAAACCGAAAACATAAGATATATATTTATACAATACAAATACAAATACATCAATGATAGCACATGGCAATTAGTCAAAACAAGATATATTAACGCAACACACATATAACATAAAACAGATAACATATGCTAACAATTTATACATCATGTGTTGTTTGTTCTACTTTCATGTGTTGCTTGTTACTCTCTTCATCCCGGGTAAATAGTTCATATTACTGTAAATACGAAAATTTAGCTAAAGTATATTTAGCAAATAATTAAAAAAAATGTATTAGTAAAAATTATTATAAATTAAGATAATTAAATAATTTAATTAAGAGTAAGGAAATTATAAATTATGAAATTTTAAATGCTATTAAAATGTATAATCATATTTCCCAAAAATAGAAGAACAAATTATGTGGAACCAACCAGAATGAAAACAATTGACATTTTATGTGAGACGAAAGGAGTATATTTTTATACGTTGATTGGGGCTAATTAGCACCATACTTATGAACCTCAATCAGCACCCTAACCCTTCCCAAACACTTATCTCGACATTGATAGCTAAGATATGCTTCCGAAAAAGTATTTGATGAAATAGTTTTGAGCGAAATAGAACTCTATCAATTTATAGAACCACACATTCCAATCAATTACCTAATGATACAAATTATAATCAAATTCGAACAGAACTCTATTAATTGAATAGAAGCACCACTCCAACCAATTACCAAACATTACATAATCATATCAAATACGAACTAAAATTCTAATAAACTACACAGAAGCTCACATTCCAACCAAATTGCAAATGATGCAAATTCATATAAAATTTGAGCCAAGACTATTAATTGGTCGAAAGCCACATTAAGGGTGTTTGTGTTTAAAGGGTTTTTGAGGAATTTTCATTATTCATTCAAACTTTTCCTCCAAAAAAATATCAAATCAAATACTTATTTTTATTTTTTATATTATACTAAACTCAAATTTACATTCAAAATATCGCATCAATATTTATTTATATCACCATATCTTACCACAATTCCAAATTCAAATATTTTCCTATTTGAATCCCAACTCAAAATCCAAACTCCCAATCAAACACACTAATTACTCAATCGTACAAATTCATATCGAACTTCAATGAACAACAATTCCATCATGTAGTTGTGAAAAAATTAGAATAAACAAATCTCAAATATTCTTTGATTCGAAACCATATATAATTATAACTGTAACTAACGAAAGTAATTCTGCTGTGGATGATTAAAAGAAGGCCTAATAATTGTAAGTGATCAAGCAACAAATTCTACAGAAGAATTACTGATAGATGTAATTGCTATTTATCCACAAAGCATATCTACTTTTTAAAACTGCTTTTTCGGGCAGTAGACTGAACGAATTCATAAATATACTCAAGAAATCCTTTCTCCGAGGAAGATATTCCAACTAATAAACCAAAGTTCGACAAAAATTTAGAACCCTATTTTGGAAACATCCCATCTATTCCAGCTCAAATTAGACTCCGCGCTGTTAAACAACTTCCACAGTAATTCAAATACAGGATTTACACTAGGAAACTCAAAAAATTCAAAAAAAAAAAGGAACCCTAAGCAAATCCACTATTGAACATCCACTCAAAATCTAGCCAATCCAGAAACAGCGTGGCGTCTTTGCACAAGTAGCTACATGAATAAAGCATGCAATAAAAGATAGGGAAGAGTGAGGTACCCGTTGGGGAAGGATATTGAGGAGCTCTGGCAGCAAGGAGAGAGAGAATTCGGCGAGCCGCCATTTCTGTCTGTCTTATTTCTTGCGAGAGAGAAAAGTTCCTGACCGATTGATATGGTAATGCCTCTGCTTGCACAGGAAGCCTTCAAATCGAAATTACCAATTTACCCTCATATTTTGGGTTGGAATTATTTTAAATGGAAATAAAATGGGTTTTATATCACAAAATTTCTTTTATGGTATTTTACCAAAAATCTCCTATTCATTAATTTTACTTCCTTTCTCCCAACATTCTTGTTTAAGATTTTTTGTTTGTTCCAAAACAATGATATTATTTTTATAAATAATAAAATTACTTTTATTTTTTTATTTTTATTACACAATTGTCACTACTTTTTACATTTGATACACTCACAAGGCAAAAATATCTTTTATTCCGATTTTTTACCAACTATCAATGTAATATAAATATATTCTTTAAATCACATGTCCAACTGAATTAAGACTATAGTTGGGACGGAGGGAATATTTTTTTTTAAATATGAAATTAAAATTTATTTTTTATTTTTTATATTATATTAAAAATTAATTTTACATTCAAAACATCGTATCAATAACTATTTATATCACATAATTCAAAATTTTTATTATTTAAATAAATTTGATAAAAAGATAGATGATGTCTTTATTTGTAGGGTTTTGGTTTTGAATTTTAATTTTAAATATTTAAATTTTTAATTAAAATATATGATATTTTGAATATAAAATTAAATTTTAAAATAATATAATAAATGAAAAATATATGTTAGATTTGATTTTTTTAAGAAATTTTTTTTTGAAATAGTATAAGTAAAACAAAAACTTGTACAAATAAACAATATGATATATAGAAAAACTAGTAAAAATTAATTATTACTTTTTGAATTAGAGGTAATAAAATTACGAATAAATAAAATTATTTACTACAAATAATTTGTGAATAAATTTACGAACAAAATAAAAGAAAAAAAAAATTCACATAATTACAATTGACAGAGAAATATATAAAAACAAATACAATCTAATATATATTCCCTCTGTCCTATAGCTATGTATTCGTTTGTTTTTTACACGGAGTTTTAGAAATATTAATATTATATTGGAATATAGTAGAAATAATTAAAATAAGTGTGATATAAAGATAATACATTTGTATATTATATTATAAGTGTGATATAGTACAATTACTTAAAAAAAAAAATAAAAATTGATATTTAATTATAAGATGGACAAAATGAAAAATGTATAATTTTTTATGAGTCAAGAAAGTACTATATTTACTCTTGAATTTGTATTTGCAATGTGGCTACACATATTTTTTCTATTTTTTCTTAAAATTTTTTTGTAGAGCCACTATTTAAATAATAAAATAAAATAAAATAAGGGGTCTGGTGGATTGTAAAATAATATAATACTAGCTGATGCCTATGTTACGCAAGTTTGAACTTAATCGTATTTATTTTATTATAATTTTCTATATATATTACATATATATTTTTATCAATTTAAAAAGAATAAAAATAAATTATGTATATATATAAAATAAAAGATATATAAGTTGTATTTAGTTGTAAATTTTCATAAATTATTTATTATTCCTAAAAATTAACATAAATTTCTTTATATATCTTATTTGTAAATAAATTAGAACACTTTTAAGGCAAAACAAAAATTAACCTATAACAAAAATAATATACAATATTGATATACACACAAAGCTTTGATAATGAAAAAGTAACCATACAATTAAAGGAATTAGGTCATCTCCAATCGAATACTCTATTTGGCCATATGTAACAATACCGAATATATAATTTTGTATACCAATTTTTTATATGATATTGATATATATATATATATTATACCAAAATTGGAAAAATAAGATTTGATATTACTTATTAGTTAAGAATTATTGATTACAAAGTATAAATTCCTCTCATGACCAATTCCACACTTCAAATGCAACATACATATGTATGCATAAATATATAAATATATTCCTTCCTATACACCAATAAAAAATTAAAAATTTACACCAAAAGTAGCCAATTTAGAGAATGTAGTAATCAAAATCGAACTATGTGAATTTATATTTCATTTTAGGACAAATATATTCCAGTATCTTCCTTTTATATTAAAAAAAAGAACTGTAAAATTATCATTAAAGCAGAAAGATGATACACAGTAAACTACTATAACAATCTATTTATATATATACATATAGAAGTATAACATTATAAACTACTAAACAAAATCCTCCACCGGAAAGATTAAACAACGTAATAAAAGCAACGCCGCAAACAAACATATGCTCCATTTCGACAGCTCCTATCAAAACATGCACCTTACTCTGGTGAACATCCATTTTAGCATACAAAGAATATATTTGTAATTTTAGGGGTTTAAAAATTGAAATTCTAAAATTTATTCGCAATTTCAGCGCATTTAGGTCAAATAGCATTAAATAAGAACCGTTGAGGAGTTGGACGCAGAGTTTATGAAATCGCGAAAGAGTTTGATACAATTTTAAAAGTACGGGGAATTTGGTACCTAAAATCACATGTGAATTTTGTACAATTTAACCAAAAAATAAAAATAAAAAATAAATAAATAACAAAAATTTTAAAAATCAAGAACAAAGACTTGATTGTTGGCCAAGTTGATAATATAATTGAGGATTGAGGAAGAGATGTGTAGATGAAATTATATGGAGTTACACTATTCTTAAATTCTTCAAAATATCTTGAATTAAAAAGTAATCTTATATTTTATTGTAATCAACGACAATTATTTAATTATTTGATAATGTTCTTGAAAAGATAATAACATACAAGAATTAATGGACATTATTAGCAAACAAGTATAGTGATTATAATACACCGCAAGGAAACTTTAGCCAGAAAATTAGCAAATTAAACAACAAACACTCTTATATTTTAGTTGATTTATAGAATGGACACAATCGTCACTTATTTGTGTTTTTAGTAAAAATGCACAATACACCTTACGTTCTAAATAAATACCTAAATTATGTAACTTTTATACAAATAAAAAAAAGTAAAATATCTTAAATAATTTATTTTTAATAAAATAAATAAATAAATAATTGATTAATAATTTATTTTTATAATTTTTATGCAAATCAAATAACAATGTCTCCAAAAACTATAGACTAAAAAATTAATCAATTATTTATTTATTTATTTAATTTTAAAAATTACTTAAAATATTTTGAATTTTTTATTTGTATAAAATTTATAGAAAAAAGGTGTTTTTCACAAATTTTACATTAGCACAGAAAAAATTTCACACAAAAGTAAAACACATATTGCTATATAATTTACCCCATTAAAAATGATAATGTAATATCCTATAGTTAAACATTAAAATTACGGGCGGTAAAATGACACCATACAAATACCCAAAATCCTGGCCATGACAACCTTGTATCTAATAGATACAAATATTAATAATGTTCTTATCCATCCGGCATAAAACCAAAATAAACCAAAAAAAAAAAAAAAAAAACAAAACCAAATAGACCAAAGAAAATAACTGGTTGCACACAACATGCCACCACTGCTACAGCATATTCATTCCTCTGTGGGACTCATAATCTAAAAACTCCCCTCCACCAGGGGGAGGAAGTGGAAGTGGAAGGGGAAGGGGAAGAGGAAGAGGAAGGGGAGGCGGCGGACCAAATGCTGCCGCCGCATTGTACCCGTACATATCGAACATCTGCCCTTCCGACGCTGCCAGATGCGCCGGGCCTTCTCGTCCCTTGAACAATGGCGGCTCCATTGCTGACGCCCATGGAGCAGGAGACGGCATGTTGGAGCCTGAAATTTCTTGGTGTGGATTAAGCATGTTGAGGTTTTGTGGTGGGTTGCCTGTCGGGGGGCGTTTGTTGTTCGGATTTCCTGTTAAGGCGATGGATGCCGACTGCTGTTGCTGCATCTGCTGTTGGTTCTTCATTGGAGACTTGGGCCGAAGAGACTCTATGTCGGAGGTTGTTTGGACAAGGTGAGGGGCTTCCGGGGGTGGGTTTCTCCCACCCAGTCCAGCCCAAACTTTACCATCCTTGTCGGCAAAGTTCCTGGTGTATGTCTGGAAGTAATGGAAACCGCATGTTAGGTCCGATATAAATAGATACATTACTTAAGGTACTTGAGGAGATAAAATTTCACAAATTAACCAAACAGAATTTAAATTGTGTAGCTCATTGTTGAATATCAATTACCGAATTAAGTCCAAGTACATCCACAAACAGCCATGATTAGAGATTTTTTTTTTTTTTTTTCCGGAGAAACAAAGTTCAAATAATAAAATTTTGAAAACTTTTGTCAAAGTAACAGTTTCAAATTCCATTAATTCAACCTAAGACAAGAACAGGAAGACCATTGCATTTCGAATGAGCTGAAAGTAGGCGCATGGATGGTTGCACTTGTTTTTTGTAGAAAAATTATATTAAAAAACAACACCTTGCAGGTGGGGAAAACCGATACGAAAAACAGAATATAACATGCCAGAAGACAGAAACACAGCACTTATATAGCTATATGATTCCTACTAAAACAGCCAAGAACGTCGAGCATACCTCTGAATTAAAATTTGACGAGGACAACCCACTACCAACTGTCAACCAACCAGCACGAATGTTATGGTCTTCGCCAAAAAGTTCAAGCCTTCTTCGACCAAGGGCAAAATGCTCAATTATACGGTACATGTCCTCAGGCTTTGCAGTGGAACCTATGATTCCATTATAAAGAGATATAAATATATGTGTGAGTAAAAAAAACTGAATAGTACAAGATTGTTTATTACTTGACTAAAAGAACTATTCACTTATATAAAAAAAAGGCATTGCAAAATAATGTGCTCAGAAGGCCACTAGTCATTAATCATATCCTATAAATTGGTAACATTAAATTTTTGCAGCCATAGAGGGAACCTAATGACCTTCTTTGTGAACAAGGAAAAGTGCGGACAAACTATAGGAGACACACACTCACATGAAGAATATTTGGTCAAAAAGAAGACTTCAATTGAAAGAATTATTAGCAAGGAGTTCTTTAAATGAAAGATAGGATTAGAAATGGTGAAGAGAATGATACTTGATGTTCACAATTACGAGAAAAATCCAGTTGAAAGTTGAAACCCTACTAAAAAATATTAAGGTTCTGCATTTTTTATGTTCATTCACTACATGCAAGGTCCACTTCTCTAGGGAACAAAGTAGAAGGAAAGAACATCTTATTGTTATATCATTTGCCTCAATACAACAGGGAGCAGAAAAACATTTGTTTCGCGTAAAATATGAGAGTACATGGCTAATTACCTTTTAGACAATCCTTTTTTCGAAAAATGAACATACAAATATAACTTAAATCTATAAGAGATGATTCCAAGCAGTCACACATACTAAGGAAACACCCAAGAAGAATTAATATCATGACAATGATTCCTAGAATCAAGTAACACTGGAACATTAAGAAGATTACGTGGAAAAATGCATAAAGACCCATCATGCTTACCATAAGGAGGTTCCTCAGCAATGATCACATCTGTGTCGATGTTGGCATGGATTATGTGACCATCTGTACTGCGGCGGACAGTCCCTTTTATGCCCATCAGGCAGTGTTCCTAGACAGTCATTATAAGACAACTTTCAGGATATAAGCATACAAAAATGTAATTCATATTATTTACACTAACATTTCAGAATTCCACTTTTCATAATAATAAGGTGCGCCAACCACCTCCAGCCAACAAGCTTAAAATTTTCTTCATGGTCGGTATATATTATTTGTCTTCATGATAGGATATTTTCAATTTGCATCTAACTCAAATATAGTACAAGTATATATTAACTGTTTACCTTGGACCGCTGAAACAGAGTGTGGGAATCGTGGCGTAAGCCTGGAGTTGCATTTGTTTTATTTGTCTTCACCCAGCATATATCTTCACATCTGCGAAATCCCCACTACATAAAACAAAAAGAAACAGATAGTTAAAGACATTGAAAATTTAAACATATGTCAAGTGGATCACAATGGCCAAATGAGTGTGAAAGGACATGACTGAGGAAAATGTGAAGTGAAGGCTTCAACAAAATAAGTACTAGAGAAAGGTTTCTCAGTCTTCACCTTCTTTAGGCATTGTCGGCCTTGCTCTAGACCAACACCATCACCCACCCAAAGGAAAAGGAAAGATGGAGTGTCAGCGATTGCCTGCGTATGACAAGGAAAAGAACATATAAAGTAAGGTAAAAGCTTCTTCGAATTTAAGATTTGTTTCACAATATAGAAAGAAGGTCAAAAGAAAACCACCTCAATCCTCAAATTCTTTATCTCTTCAAATGACCAATGGTCCATTTGGACACCAGGAGCCCGATGAACATACTCCTCCCATGGTGGGTCTATAAGAATGACATCGAATTTTGTTCCAAAGAACTCTGGTGAAAGCAACTGCTCTCGCAGGTCACACTTGTAGTACATTGGCGCAGAAGCAGATTTTGCAACAATCTCATCCTTTTTCTGTATAAGCTCCCGAAGCTTTGGATAGTCCTCAACCACACTAGTGAGCTCTAGTTCCCTGATGAAATTCTGTGGCCGCATACCAGTGTCAACAAAGTTCTGAGAATAATCATTTTGCTCTCCTCTAGACGGAGCTTTGCCAGGGGGAGCATTGATTCTAGGAGGAACCCACCCTCCTGAAGCTTTATCTTGAGGTGGACCCTGACCAACTGGAGGTATGGCATTGAAATTTGGACCAGGCATACTGGAAAGCATTCCTCTTCCAGGCCCAGATGGATTGAAACCCATAGCACTATTTGGTCCACTTCCCATGTTAGGAGGAAATCTAGGTCCAAGGGGTCCTGGGGGAACAGGAGGAAGACCAGGTGGAACACCAAGCATATTCATCTCAACACCCCGACCTCCTGGCCATACAACGGATGGTTGGAATGGTGGAATGAATACTCCAGGTGAAATGGACCCAGGTGCAGGGGACATGTTAGGTGGTAAGGATTGCATTGGTCCAGGAGGTGGCAATCCGAGTGGTCCAAAAGGTGATCCTACCATGGGCAGTGGAACACCCGCTTGATGACCCTCTCTTCCAGAAGGCCTACCACCCCTTCCACTTCTCCCAGTTCTATTTCCACGGCCACCTTGAGAACTTCTATTAAAAGAACCTGGCTCTTGGTTTCCACTTGGAGGTGCAGAGCCACCACTAGAATTTTGGCTGCTAGTACCACGGGTGGAGAGACCTCTAGATTTCTCAGTATTATGGTCATTATCATCTCTCCAGGAATGATTCTCCTGCACTGCAACATTGCCATCTATGGATTTATCTTTTGTATCTTGACCAGCTTGGACAGACCCAAGGGAGTTTCTTGACCCATCCTCCCTTGAATAAGAAAACCCTTCAGCATCAGGAGCCTGTTTTGAGTCAGATTGAGGAACAGCTTCACTATTTTTTGCAGAATTTGACCTTGAATCTTCTCTTGCATAATCATATGGTTTTGTCTGGATTTCAATGACATCATAATTATCACTCGATATTCCATATTTTGATGAAATTTTTACTGCTTCTGTCCTGTTTCCATCTTTTCTACTACCAGAGCGACCATCAATTCGGTCACGTCCTCGACGAGGTAACTCCCAGTCCCTGATTCCGTCATATGTTTCATTCTCTCTTGATTCCTTATCTTTTCTTTTCCATGTATCTTTAGCAATGTCCCGGTCCCTCTTTCTGTCGCCCCAACTATCATCTCTTCCTTTTGATCTATCATTCCAAGGGCCATCTTTTCCCAGCTCCTTCCGCCTATGAGAACTGCTTCTTTCGTAATCCGCATCTAAACTATCTGATTCAAACTGCCGCCTTCCAATCTTCTCAGGAATTCTAGAACTATCCGAGTTCTCTCCATCTCTCCTACTTTTGTCTTTTGTCCACATATTAACATCCTCATCAGCATTTAGGGGCCTTAAACTACCATCTTTTATATCACCACGTAAGGGATTTCTTGGCTGTCTATGCTCGTCAGATCTCTCTTTATTTAATACTTCTTCATGTTTTGAGATTCCCTTATTATCTTCCTCAACATATTCAGATTTTCCTCTCCTGCTCCTTTCTAGATCAATTTCTGTATCCTCTCTTTCAAGAGACTTGGTACTTTCATCATTCATTGATTCAAAGTCCTTGAGTCTTATGTCATTCGATTCAATTTCCAAAGTCTCACTTCTCTCTCTTTCATTCAAACTTCCAAGCTTAGAATCAGAAGACTTTCCACTTTTTACATCTGCACTTTCTGCAAATTCAGCAGTTTTTGCAACACTGTCAGGCTCATCCCATCTTCTCCTGTGATTTCTTCCATGCAACTTTTCCCCATCTATGTTGTGTTCTGAGTATTTTGAAGTTGATTTCTTCTTGTCGGCTTCTTCATCTCGACCATATCCCTTACTTCCAGGTTTGTCCCCATCTTCAATCTTGTTTTCTGATTCTCCATCTTGATACCAAGTGCTCAATACATCCAATGTATTCTCTTCTGCAGTTTTCTTCAACTGCTTCGCACGTGACTCTTTTCTGGTTTCATAGTCATCTGGATCACTGTCAGCTCTACTTGATTCACCCGATCTCTTTCGATTTCCATACGAGTCAGATACACTTCTTTTCCTGCCACTACCATCCATGATATCAGGTTGCTTCCTCTTATCATCACCATCCCAGTCTTCATCATCCCTCATAGTGTCAATGTTTACCTCCATATCTTCCCCAACCTCCCATTTTGTAGAACTTCTTACCCGGTCAGGTGAGGCCATATCACAAAACTAATTGCCAAGAATCAAAGGAGACAAAAGATGGTTGCCAACAGTGCAGGGAAAACAGGACAAAATCTGAAGGTAGACTGCACGACAGATCCATTCCAATCGTTAGGTTATATTTGAAAAAAAAAAAAAAAAAAAAAAAACGCATACATAAAAATATCCAGGATTCAAGAACAAGCAGTAAGATTTCATGTCAACAAGTTAAGGATTTTGCTCATTTACCCAACTACAAGCAACAAAGATAACATATTTTTAAAAAGAACTTCCATATGGAAATTCCCTACCCTCGAAAAAATGCATCAGAGTCAAATCACAGGTTGTCAAAATTATATCGAACAAAATAAGTTTAGAATCCTAGGTAATTATCTCAAGCAAGAAATAAAAACATCAAATTCATCATCTTCCCATATGAAAATCCTGCAACTCAATAGGTCTTACCCAAAAAAAAAAAAAAAACAGAATCATTATCTCAGACGAAATATGCAGAATTGCATAACGAAGAGATAAAAATCACAGAATATCAGTAGACATCAGATTTAACTGATCAACTAAAAAACCCATCCTCGCCCAGTCTCAAATCATCCAATTGGAAAAACAACCCACAGAAGAGAGATGACCATAGCAAAACCTAGATTGAAAAACAAACACCAGTGCAATCATACATTTTAATGGTCGATGCAGACGATAGAACATCGAAGGACGATAAGGCGGCGCATCGCCGGAGGAGAGGAATCGAGCGGCGAACGCTGCGTCGTACGTCAAAGTGAATGATGAAAGCGGGATTGCAGAAAGTGATTTGCGAAAACCCTCGTCGTTTTTTATTGGACAATTATTTTCCAGAAACCGGTACACGGTATTTATAGGTAATAATCCTTTTTTAAGATTTTAGATACGATTGATTCGAGATTTTATGAAATTTAAGATTTTACGGTGGATTAATTTGAAATTTTATTAGATTATTTATAAATTTATATAAATTTTAAAATAATATTTTTATTAATTTATATAATATGTATAGATATATATATAATATATTCGAGATAAATAAAAATATTTAAATTATTAAATATATCAATTTAGGGCCGTTTGGATTGACTTAAAAAAATAAGTAGAAGCAGCAGTTCGATTTTGTGTTTGGATAAATAATTATAAAAGCAGCTTTTCGTAAAAAACTGTTTGGACGTTATAAAGTTAAAAGTGCTTTTAAATGGTTAAAATTACTTAAATGGACATGCGGTTAATATAATACTAATATTTTTCTATAATACTTGTATAATTTAATTTAAATTTTATAAATTATATTTAAAGATTTAAATTAAACTATAAAAAATGTACTTTTAAATTTTGATTATTTATATTTTAAAATTTTAATTTAAGGATAATATATCAATTAAACATAAAATTACTGTATAATATTATATAATTTGTATTTTATAATTTATTTTAAAATTTTATAAATTATATTTAGTAATTTAAGTATAATTAAAAAAATTATATATTCCTATTTACATTCGGTATTTAAATTTTAAATTTTAATCCAAATATAGTATAGAAATTAAAAATAATAAATTAATTATATTTTAAAATTTGTATTAAAATATAATATATATAATTTATTTATTTTTATATTATATTATATTGTATTTATTATTATTATTATTATTATTATTATTATTATTATTATTATTAAAGATAAAACAATAATTTTAACTGAAAAGTACTTCGAATTATTTCAAAAGCTACCTCCAATATGCTTCTGAAAAATATACTTTTCAGCTTCAAAGCTGTTTTTGGACAGAAGCCAATGCAAACAGGTGGAAATTAAGCAGAAGCCAAAAGCTCTTGCCAGAAGCCAATCCAAACGGACCTTATTTTAATTAGTTGAAATTTTAGCATAATTATGTTATTGGTATATCTATGTATTAGTCCCTCCTTGCCAATTGGAAACATCATTTTTTTAAATTGTGTTTGTCAGTTTAAAATAGAGTCGTTAAAATGGGTTGAGCCTATCGGGTTGGCCGCCCGAGGGTTGAGTTGTAATTTGTTAAGCCCATTAAAATGCGAGTCTATATGGGCCAACCCACATGGGCCGCGGGTTGTGGGTGGGTTAGCCCGCACTGGGGCGGGTTAGTCCGCAGGTCAAGTAAATATAATAATTAGTACTCGCTCGTTTAACTAAATGTATTTTTTTTATAATTTTCTACTGTCATATTAAAAAATTATAATAAAACTAATCAAATCAAATATTAATATAAGAATATATTTTAAATTTTTTATAAATTACAAATATATCATTATAAATAATTTAAGACGAATAAAATAAAATTTATATTATCATTAGCTTAAATAAATTATCAATATTGTCTACACGTTGTTTTTTTCTCTAACTATCTTATTCATGACATTGTTATTTGTTTCGATTTTTCATCATTTGTTTTGTTCGTCTTCCATTTTATAATGTTACAAATTCATAAAATTAATTATGATTTATTTTTAAAATAAAGTATTTCTTATTATTAAATTTTTTAAATACACCAATTAATAATATTTAGAATTAAGAATTTTTATATTTTTTATTTATTTTAGAATATTTATTATTTAAATTATACAGTACAACTATTTTTAGTTATTTTTAAATATTAATTACGAAAATATTTATAATATTAATATTCTTTTAATATTTTTAAAAAAACCAGTAGGCTTAGCCCTTTTAGCTCGCCACCCGCTGGTGGCTTGGGTTGGGCTGATGAAATTTTGATCCGCCCCGCTGCGGGTTGGCCCCCCGCAAACAACCTGCTTACATGCGGGTTAGAGTGGGTTGTGGGCCAATCAACCTTACTAACCCGTTTTGACATGTGTAATTTAAAATATATCTTTCTTATTTTAGTAAAATAATTATATGAATACCAAAATATTTTTAATTTTTACCTAAATTACAAACATACCATTACATATACAATTATTTTTTTACATATAAAATCAAATTAAAAAAATATCAAAATTTCTTACATATTTTCTAACTAATAAAATACTATTTGAGCCCATTTAAACTAGAACGAATGGGGTATTAATTTAGCAAATTTAATGAGAAATAACAATAAAATAAAATATATTGTCATTTTTAAATCCTTTTTATCTTTATGAATTAAATTTATTTGCAATTTTTTTTTTTATACAATGAAAATTAGAATTATTTCATATTTCAATAATAATAATAATAATAATAATAATAATAATAATAATAATAATAACATAATCCTTCACTTCCCCTTCAAAGAAATTCCTTTGAAATTTTGTAAAAGATTAAAAAATAATATTAATATTTTATAAATGAATTGTATTTGCAATGATATGTTTATAATTTAAGTATAAATTATATTTTTGTATTAATGTGTGATTAATTTTAGTAAAAAGATACTCCCTTCGTCCCACATACAATGTCCGTATTGCCGTTTCTGTCTGTCTCACATTCCATGTCACTTTCCATTTTTGGAAAATGATTACACACTTTAATCTCATTTTAAACTTTTTTATTTTTTTAATTTTAATTAAACTAATTAATTATCTTAATCTTAATTTATAATTATTTATATTATAGAATAATTATTTTTACTAATACATTCTTAATTATCTACTGATTACACTCATCCTAAAATACCGTAGGTAGAGTGTAGTACACGGTAAATGGGACGGAGGGAGTAGTATTTATTTAGTGTAACAGACCAAAATAATAATAATATATTTTTATTAAAATTACTAATAATTCATTAGTATATTTTAGTTTTAAAATTTATTATTACGTTATTCAAGATTGTAATAATATTAATAAAAATTATAATAGTATTTATTTTTATAATCAATAATAAATTAATAATATTTTTTAAAAATCTATATAAATTCCTCTTACAGAGATTTACATCATTTATATATAGTTTTTAAAAAAATTATAATAATATTATTATAAAGTTTATCATTACACATCCATAATAACAACAACAATAATAATAATAATAATAATAATAATAATAATAATAATAATATTTTAACAATTTATAGAAGTTTTTTTGACAATGAGAGATTATCGGTTGTATCATTTGTTTTTAATTTTCAACAAGAATTTAATAAGATTTTAAAAAGTTTGGAACAAATACATTTGATTTTAAAATCTTTAAAATTTGAATTGAATAATTCTGGACTTTGAAAAACTTTTAAAAGTTTAGATTAAGTACACTTAAATTTTAAAAGTCAACAAAATCGTAAAAAGTCATACACATCATTTGACAATGTGTTTGGGTTGAGTATTCTAAAATAATTTTTTTGCAAAAAAAATATTTCATTCGTCTCATATAAAATATCTATTTTTTTTTTCGGTTTATCGCATATAATTTCCGGTTAATTTTTAAAAAATATTATTATGTACTCTTTAATTATTTACTAACTATATTTTATTTAAATTATTATTTTTACATGTTAAAAAAAAATTGAACGGAGGAAGTACTTCAATTACTTTTATTTATTATATCAAATTAAAATTTAATTTTATAATATCATATTAATATATATTTATATTCATTACATAACTATTTTAATTTAAATTTTTACGATTAAAAATAAAAATTCAAAACCAAAACTCCACAGAGAAACACAATTACGGTGTGTTCGTTTAAAAGATTCGTCAAATTCCTCAAAATATCATATCAACACTTATTTATATCAAATCATACAACTATTCAAATTCAAAACTTTTACTGATAAAATTTCAACTCAAAATCCAAATACCGAATTCAACTTTCACATTGTCTTTGTCACGTTTGAATGTAGACCGTCCTTGGGGTGCTCTACCGTCCAAAAGAAATATTTCACGTGGTGAAATTAATCGTGCCATTATAGTGGTAATTTGAATCTTAGGAAAACATTCACTTTCATTCCGATGAGTTTGAGACATTCATTTTTCAATGATTTTTGTATGGTCAATCCTAAAGTGAAAGCAATTTGCAGTGGCATATTGAAACAAATTATGTCATTTGTAATATTTTTGCCCTTTGATTTATTGGGACAAGGCCAATCATTGGGCCTTGAAGATACGGATTTGACCATTTATCAATAGTTGATTGAAAATTGCATCAGCTTGCGCAATATCTAATAAACAATTCTTGTTTTGTAATTTGGGCATGTCTTTACCATTTGGAAGCTTGAGATTATAGCAAGTTTAAGACTTTCCTAGTACCAGCTCCGTTGCAGCCTCCTTAATTAACGTATGATAGTTTATACCTATCGACCATATCCTCCACATTAATTACAACAACTTGGCGCCTAGCTCGTTTTTCTTTGGTTTTCTTTTTTATGAAAAAGACTCTTCAGGCGTGCGGTCTTAGCAGTTAGTTGTGCCAAGGTTTGAACTTTGCGAGCCATGAGTGGATTGCGTAGTCACGGTTGCATTTTTCTAATCATGATATTGGCAATTTCGGATTCATTGATGATCACTGGACAATGCGCTTTATTTCATCTAATTTTTTCGATGAGGGTAATGGTTGATTCTCAAAACTCTTGTTTTTGTTCCTATTGAATTTGTGAGAGTAGTTTGTTGTATAAGACTGTAGAACCTATCGTGGAACTCTTACTCAATGTCTCCATCCGAGGCCAACTTTGGATGGAGTTGGTACATAGAGACAAATACCATGGAAATGAGGTTTTAAATTCTTAGGAGAGGGATAATTCTCCAATGAAGACTGTAAATATGGTCACGTGCTCTGCAGATAACTAACTGTTTTCTCTTGAAAATAGAGGAGATTTCGGGATCTTAACTTGACAAGGAAATGGATAATAGCACTCTACCCATTTTGGAAAAGGTTCCCGGAATATAAGACCTTGCAAGCCCTAACCAGCAGTGGTTGTAGAAGAACACTCAACCTTTGTGCCTCAAGTGCATGCAGTTAGTGAAAGTTGAGCGCGGCTCTGGGAATACTGTCGTATTGTATGTAAGGCATCGTCGGTTGAGAAACAAGATGTAGATACGCATCACCATTGTATGCGGACATCGCAAGAATAATAGACCTCGGTTTCGGATGTATTTTTTGGTGTGAAAAAGTTTAAGTGGTGTTGGCATCTGAAAAACAATGCATGGATGTGTGCAACCATTATTGGCCGTGATTTTTGAATTCAACTGAGGTAATCGGCCGGTATTGATGCGTTCCGAAACCATTTTTGATTTGGGAAGTTGACGGGGGTGTCGTATTCACACTTGCTATATGTTTGGTAATGGCAAGAACACTGTGGATGAGTTTCTGGCACATTCCTTTGAAGAGCATAGCCATATTCTAGTGTGCAGCCAAGTTTGATGACTTTTGTCCACTGTATAAAGTCAGCATCTTCACCCGAATCAAAGTAAACCCATTCTGGATGGATGCTGGCAGAGACGAAAGGCCAAATAAAGCATGAAGTTAGCATGATCTTTGAATGATTTACGAATGCAATGATTGAAATAAATTATTCAAGATTTGTCCTGTGCAAGAAAAAAAACAGTAGGGGAAGAAGATGAAGATGACAAATTCTCTTTTCGTACTTAGTGAGCCATTTGCACAACTTAAGTTCAAATATATTGAGAATACAATTACTTTGTTTTGATACGTAGGCAAAACAAGATCTGTTTGCAAAGAATTAATGTCCTTGCTTTTAGTAAAAATACAATAATTTTATTGAAAAGACTATTAATCTAACTTTGAATTGTCCAGAGAGAGAGAGAGAGAGAGAGAGAGAAAGAAATATATGGTTTAGGACTCCCTCTACTGCACCCTGCAATGTTGCTTGTCTTTCCATTTTTGGTCCGATCCGATTATGAACTTCAAGTTATTTTTTGTTTTAAATTTTAAATGATTTTGTTCTTCTTTTCGTAATTAAATAAATTTTTTAATCAAATGATAAAAGTGAGAATTACACGTAAGATAACAATCAATCTTACCATTAAGCTATAGTTCAAATTTTGTCATTAATTTATTAGTTAATAGATATGTAAATATATTAATTTTTAAATATAATGTTAATAAATTGGATCCGGCATACACGTTTCGACTTTCATAAGCTCGGGCACAACCCCAAAATATTTGAACCTATTTTTTGAGCTTCAAGCAAGTTTTTTTGTGTTTCGAATCGTGTTTATTTTGCTAGCTCTAATGAATATATATTATATATTTTTATTAATAAATATCGAAGATTATATCAAAAAAAAGTTTATTTATTCAAACAAATTCATCTTTTCACCTTGAAAAAACACTTGGAATATGTTTGTTTTATGAAAATAATTTGAATAGATATTTTTTTATGTAAAATATAAAAAATTGCCATATATATATTTTTTAAAAATATGTGTGTTGTTCTTTTAAAAAATTTTATTTAATATTTAATATAATATTTTACTATAATATATATTTTAAAAGTGCAGAGTTAAAGAATAAAATTGAAAAAAAATTATTCCTCCGGTCCGCCTATTATCTTAAATTTATTCTGATTTTTATAAATTTATTTTTAATTTTAATAAAAAAATACTATTTTTTTTTTAAAAAAAAAAACCCAAAAAGAGTATAAAAAACACACTCCATATTTTTTATTTGAAATGTTCCATTCCAACTTCATCAGAAAAAAATAATAATAATAAAATCATTTGTACGCTAAAACCCTGCGGTTCGTGATTTTGTGTATTGCAATTCTCATTTCAGTGCCGCATCGCCGACCAAACCCTTGTTGGGGAGAACATGGCCAGAGCTGCACTGCTTCAATTCGTCCGATCTCAATCCGCTGCTTTCCATTCAGGTACCTTCGTCTTCTCTTCCGCCTCTTGCTCTATGATTTGATGTTTTAGTGATGTGACGGTCTCATTCGTTTTTCTCTTTTTGGATATGTATTTGTAGTTTTACCTTGTAATGCATCTTTTCTTCTGATCTCTGCTCGGTTGATGTTACTTGGATATTGATCAGACGGATTTCGGATGAAGTTGGACAAAATAGGATGCTTATATTTTAAAATTTTCATGTTTTTCTATGCTTGAACTGGAGAAGGAAATGATCTGGTGGTATAATTTGGTTTTATGAAAGATTAGTTTGGTAGCATTCATTTCCTGGAATTTAAAATTTGGTGAAAAGTAGGAAGCTCCATTGAAGCTTGTAGCTTGTTCTAATTCTTTTATTGTGAATAGTGAGGGAGTTATATAAAATTCTCTTTGTTATAAGAGGTATTCTGGAGCTTCATCTATAGCCTGCTTATGGTTTTCATCCTCCCAATCAAGGAAGCAGCAATATAGGATTCTGTGATATTCGTCAGTGTTGATGTGGTTTCCATATTCTTATTGAATTTTCACTTTACTCCTTACATTTGCCCTCACCAAGTCAGTTGACTAGCTGGTTTAGGCTCACTATTATGTGTATGCATTTACATTGATGATTTATTTCAAGCCCTCATAATGTGAGGATTTTGGCTAGGTAGGTTTTTATTCTGATTTTTCGATAAATAGTTATCATCTTGTGAGTCATAACAGATTAGTCAAGGGGAGAAAGAAATTAGGTATTGAATAGAAATCAATTTTGTTTTTTCTGTTCCCGAACATGCTAGGAATCACCAATGATATGATTAGTGGTGTATATATCTGTGGATTGATGATTGCAGTGCGCTGGGTAGACTTCCTTTCTGATGTTATTATTATTTTCTGTAAGTTATCATCGAGCAACTCATAGAAGATTTGTCAAGAGGAGCAAGAAATTAGGTTATTATGTTCAAATCAATTTGTTTATTAGCTCACAATCATGCCAAGAATCACCAATTGTTATGAAAACCTGTGTATATATTTTGTGATTGAGAATTCAAGCGCGAATGCTAGTTTTTTCATTCTTATTTTATTCTGTTAGTTACTGTCAAGAAATTTCATAAAAAATTGAATTCAATTCTGTCTATTAGCTCAAGTGAATGGTAGAAATTATCGGTAAGTATCAAAGCTGTGTATGCATGTTGTGATTTAGAATTGAAGTGTACAGTTTTTTCAATTCCCACTTGCCATCCTCTTGTTTATTTTGAACTAGCGTAATCAGAGGATATGGTGTCGCTTGCAATTATTTTCTTGTTTTAGACATAAGTTAATCGTAGCATTTTTGTTGGATCAGGTGATATTAGTTCCAAAATCAATGCCAACTCTTCCAAATTGCTCGCCTCAACCCCGAGGCGGATGTTTTCTCACAGTACAGCAGCAGAGGACAGCAAGATCAGTATTGGACCTCGGAAGGGGGGAGGAGAGGATCAAGCTGAAGAAAAAGATTCTAGCGTTGTTTACTATGGGCCTATCTCGAATACAATCAAGAAAGTGAAGCTTCTCTCTCTTTCAACCTGCTGCCTCTCGGTCTCATTAGGACCTGTAATCACTTTCATGACATCTCCGGACATGAATGTCATCCTAAAGGGGGCTGTCGCCTCTTCTGTCATATTCCTCAGCGCTTCCACTACCGGCGCCCTTCACTGGTTTGTGAGCCCTTACGTGCACAAGCTCCGATGGCAGCCTGGTTCAGACAGCTTTGAGGTTGAGATGATGACGTGGCTGGCCACATATACACCCAAGACCATCAAGTTTGCGGATATCAAACCTCCAGAGACCAATAGGCCTTTCGTGTCGTTCAAGGCTAACGATAATTTCTACTTTGTGGATGCAGAGCACTGTCACAATAAAGCATTGTTGGCCAAATTGACCCCTCAAAAACAAGCCCACGCATCGGCTTTCAAGAATCTGTAATGTGCAAGCAGAGAACTTGTGCGGCGAGAACTTTAAGCATAAATAAGGTACCATTCAAACTGCTGATAGGAACAAGTTTTTTTTTTTTTTTGCAATTATTTATCTAATTTCCTCCTATTTACAGTAACAGTTAACTGTTTATCTTCATCTATGGGATTTCTTGTTTTGAGAAGTTGTTGGCTGATAGATGATTTAGGATGATACTGTAATATTTGATTTAGTTAATTTAAGCTAATTTTATTAGTTTTAACTAAAAATATATCCTTTCAGTAGATTAAAAATAATAATACTATGTTATTTATTAAATAAAATGTACAAGGTTGATACGGGTGAGTAGTAATTATTATATTTACTTGGTCGCGGGCTAATCCACTCTCAACCCATGACCCATGTGGATTGGCCCGTTTAGACCCGTATTTTAACGGATTTAAAAAATCACAATTCAACCCTCCTAAAAAGTAAGGCGGGGGCGGGCTAACCCGACGGGCTTAGCTAATTTTGACGTCTCTAATCCGACCCACTATTTCTTCTCAATATAACCTTCTACCTAAATTGGGATATCTTATGACCTTAAATGATTCCAGGGATTCGAATCTGTACTATACTAGACGTATTTTGAAAATAAAGAAACATTCCAAAAAATAAAAACATTAAAAAAAAAAAAAAAACCTTTAATTGAGAAGAACTTAGAAAAGATATAAGGTAAATATAGTGATGAGTGATACAAGTAGAGAGTGCCAATCGAAAACGAAAATGATAGTTCAGATATTTGAATTCTATGTTTGTGGATATTTCTAAAAATATTTAAATTCAAATTCAAATTCATAATTTTCAATTTGGATTTCTCTGTTCGAATTCGGATTCGGTATTACTCGAATTGACTAAATTCAACTTGATTACAATTAAATTGAATTGGATACAAAAAAAAAAATAAAAATTACTCTCCCTTCGTCCCATAAAAAATATCTATTTTTTTATTTTAGATTATTCCGTAACAAAGTATTTATTCGTTTTTTTTAGTAACTGTACTGTCTCCTAACATTACAGATACCTTTGCAACTTACAATATATTTCACAAATGTTATTACTTTTATATCACACATACTAATAAGGTTATTTTAGTCATTTCTACTCTATTCCTACTATATCCTAATATAATACTAATATTTTTAAAATTACGTCCAAAACGCAAATTGATATTTAGTTATGGGACGAAAGGAGTATGTTAAAATATATTTATAAACAATATATTATATTTATGGTAGTTATCTTATTTAAGAGATTCGTGGATTCTTAAGTTATTTAGACGATTTATATGTTACTATAGATATGTATGTATTCTTATTATTGAAATAGAGAATTTCAATTTTATATTATAACAATATCAAATTTAGTTGCATAATTTTGAAATTATTAACTTTTTAAAATATTATAAAAATATACGTATTTAATATAAATAAAACTACTTAGTAGAGCATCCGTTGTATAGTTATTACCTTTACCGCATTATATCTTTTATATCTGTCATCCACGTCATATTTATCTTAATATTCAAATTATTTCATTTATTATCCGATATAGTATCTCTAACACATTATCTTTACTATTTTATAAATTCACAATAATTTATTTATTTCTATATATTTTTATTATGCAATAATATTTATAAATAATTTATTTATTTATACATATATCTATATATTTTTATTATCTCATAATATTTTTATATAATTGTTGATGCAATTTTTCAACAATAAAAAGTAAAATTCGAAAATAGGGAAATATCTTCGAATTTGATATAATTAGTGCCTGAGATTAAGAATTTCTAAACACTATAGAATACATAAATAAAATAGGAAAATATAAAATAAAGACCGAAAAATAAAGTGGTAATCCCCAAAAGCAATTCTCTTGAATTTGATGTTGATTGAAGATGGTTTTTTAGGTGAGGAACATACATATTTAAACCCTTTCAAGAAACGGTTTGAACCGCCGTCTGGTCGGTTACAGCAACCGCTGTCAACTGCCCAGAAAGTCCTCTTCTGATGACACGTGTGTCAACTGACCCACCAAGTCAAACCTTCAAAAACCGTTCACCAGTTGAAACTTCCCTCCACTAGCAGAAAACTGCTCTCTCACCCGACCTGTACAGTGGCTATTGTTGCCCGGCCTTATTGCATCCGACCTTATCACACCCGACTTTTGAATTCTGCCTGATTGCGCCCGACCCCATTGTCCATCCTTATCGCATCCGACCTCATACCGTGTTACCTCTGTGTCCGACTTTATTACGCCCGACCTTTGAGCTTGGCCCAACCAGGTCTGACCTTTTGTCCGACCTTTAAGCTTGGCCCGACCAGGTCCGACCTCATTGTCTGACCTTTAAACTTGGCCCGACCAGGTCCGACTTTATACCGTCTTGCCTCCGTCTCATTCCTACATCCGACTTCATTAATCCTGAACTCCGTACCCGACTTGATCGTACCTGACCTTTGCACCAGACCTTGTTACTCCTGAATTCCATACTCGACATGATCGTACCTGACCTTTGCACCAGACCTTGTTACTCCTGAATTCCATACCCGACCTGATCGTACCTGACCTTTGCACCAGACCTTGTTACTCCTGAATTCCATACCCGACCTGATCGTACCTGACCTTTGCACCAGACCTTGTTACTCCTGAACTCCGTACCCGACCTGATCGCCACCCGATCTGCCTTCTCCTGAGGAAGTTTCTTCACCTAATATGCTCTTTCCCGAGACAATTTCTTCATTAAAAACATCCATATTCGCACTTTTGAAAGCCCATTAAACTCGAATAAAAATCTTAAGTAGGCCAATTCTCGAAAATCCTACTTACAATTTTTTTATGTTCAACAATAATATTATATTTTAACTTTTAAATATTAATCTATATAAATTTTAATAATTAAAAATATTCGAAATAAATCAACATGTATATATTAATTAAAAATAACATAAAAAAGAATCGTAATATAATATAAAGATATAAAATAAATATATTAACAATATAACTTAATAATTATTATTTTTATTGTCAAATTGTGTCTAACATTTAATTTAAGAACTGATTGATCAGTATTTTCACTAGTCATTTCGTTTAATTGAACATGAAAATGTAGAAAATTGATTAATGAAATTTAAATATATATATAGATAATTTATATTAAATTTAAAGTTTAAAATTTTGAAAATTCAAATTTTTTTTAATAATTTTGAATTTATTTTTATTTTTTTTTTTGAAAGTATATCTTATTAAAAAGTAATGAATTTTGTTACAGTAAAAATTAAAAAAGTAATAATAAATGTAATGAAAGAAATGACGGATGCTCTTATAATTAAATATATGTATTTATAGTAGTATATCTAAATGAAATATTTATATAAAATCAATAATATGTAATTCAAATATAAGTTATATAATATTAAAAAAATTAATTAATTGAATTCGAAATTTGATAATTTTAAATTTGAAAAGTAAAATTGTTTTTGATTGAATTAATATTAAGAATTTTGAATTCGGAATGTCTGAATATTACCTGATTTTTTTTTATTTTTTTTATTTTTTAAAACTCAAATTGGATTGGTAATTTGAAAATTAATAATTTTGCACACTTCCATGTACTATAGTGTGTAATAAAGATGTACAATGTAAAGTGCAATGAGGAATGTAGTGGTTATTATTGAAATTGATTTGAAATTTCTTTGTTTTGTAAGATAATTTAAATGAATATTTTTTGACGTGAGTACGGAGAATTGTGTAAAAAATATAAAAATAATAAATTTATGTATATTAATATTTTTGGGAAAATGTGTATGTAATTTTTTGGTAAAAGGAGACAAGTGTTTATTTGAATTTTTATTTAAATATTATTTTGATGTGAAATTTTGTGAAAATAAATAGTACATTTTTATTAAAAATTGTATGGCTTGAACAATGGAATTTTTTTTATTTGAAATAAATAACGAGCACACTTGAATACCAAATGTTATCTTATAAACACAAGGCCACATAAGTAGTTTTGCATATATTTTAGTATCCGAATAAATTTGAAAATAGTTAAAAAAATATTAGTATTTGATGTGATGTTTTGTAAAAAAACAAAATATTTAATATGATTTTTTTTTTTTAATTTTTGACGAACAATATAAAAAAAATCAAAAAAATTATCTGTGCAAATAAAAATCCACTTGTACGTTTATAAGTGATTTTTCAATAATTCCCTTGAAATTCTTTTATTGTTTGAACAAAGTTGAAAATGACAATAGTATTTTCTAACAGTGTAATTGTTTGTTTGATAAATTTATTAGTCTTGTGGTATATGAACACCTTTGCACAATCCCTATCATTAATCGTCACGCAAAATGGATTGATGTGAGCATCGTAATCTCCATTCCAACCCTAGATTTGATTAAGATTTTATTAATATACTTTATTCGTTCCAAAACTATGATCTTATTTGAGTTGGACACGAGATTTAAAAATAATTTTAAAATATATACTGCAACTTCATTTTTCTCCAATTCTCTGCGTATGAGAGAGAAATGAACACAATCCATTTCAAGAGAAATTGTACCATTTTTATTGCTCTGTATCAAACACAATCCAAAAGTATAAATCAACAAACGAGATAAAATTTTTATGAAAATATTAAGAGGGACAAATTACTATAAAATACATACTTTTATTATTATATTTACATAAAAAAAATACATATATTTTGAGGGCCGGGGGTCAGACCCCGTAGCCCCCTGCATACTGTCGCTGAAATTTATTTATGACGGCCCAACAGATCTAGGCTGGTCGAAATTGACAATAATCGAATTACCCGGCCTACTCAAGAAAATATCCGGCCCAACCCTCTTAACGAAATTGTGATGAAAAATTAATTACTAGAATGGAATATGCGATTGAACCAAAAATAAATAATAATACTCCCTCTGTTATGTCCAACTAGAAAGTATACACATTTATATTTTGAGACGTCCAATTACAAAGTAAACATTTCATTAAATACCTCACTTTTTTTCCACAAATACTCTTACGTTACATCACATCATTACTTTTACAAAAAAGAAAAATAAGGGCAAAAATATCATTACACTATTTTTAACTACCCACTATAATTAAAATACTACTCCCTCCGTCTACAAACTAATGTCCTATTTTTCTATTTGGGACGTACAATAACTATTGTCCTATTTCTTTTTTTAAACACAATTTTTACTTTTTTTACCCTTTATTTATTTATCACTTTTAATCTCTACCTTATCATAAAGGATAAATTTGTCAACCATGCAAATATACTTTAGGACAATTATAAATGAACTGAGAGAGTATTATTTTTTAAACACTACACCAAAAAGTAAATATTTACTTTACCCGTGGACGGAGGAAGTACAATGGACGAACAACGAGGAGTTGGCGTTGTGATAAATTGAATTTCGAAATTCAAAAGTAAGAAACTAACAAGAAAATAGGAACATAACTCGATAATAGTGAAAGCGCAAAAGAGTAAAAACAAAGAAAATAAACGAACCCTTTTTATATCCAATGATTTGTTTTATCCCCCAAATCTCTCTCAACTCCTCGGTTCAAGCTGCTCAGTTGAAATTGTTTGGGCAGGTCCATCCCATCCGCTCCTTCGAGCTGGTTGATTACTTGCGGAGGGAGGCTCGAAAATATTTGAGGCAACCCTTACATTGATTTGTCAAATTAACACTAACAATACCGCATAGGCTGCCCCCCGATCCCGATCCGGATCCGATACAATTGCTATGCAGAAACAGATCATCCACAACTTCATGTCATTGATATCTTACTACACTTCTTTGTCAATTGTGCTTATAAATTATTGAAGATAGGTGTTCACTTCTTACCTATCTTGTACTGATCTGTTATCTTAGGATTCTATATGTATGTTGAAGCTGTCTACCGTGCTACATTGATCTACACAATGTGCTGATTGCTTACTATTCCCTTCGTTCCATAACAAAATATCTATTTTTTTTATTTTAGTCTGTTCCGTAACAAAGTATTCATTTTATTTTTTTTTAGTAACTTTACTATCTACCTAATATTACAAATACCCTTAAAATTTACAATATATTACACAAATGTCATTATTTTTATATTAAAATTTCAGGTAAAAAGCAAATAGATACATAATTATGGGACAGAGGAAGTATTATTACGTGGATAGTATACAAATTCATCTATTTTACAACCATTGATCAATATCTATATCCGATGGCCGTAATTTTTTCCGGACTCACTTGAATTATAAGGAGGAAACTTGGATTGATTTAGCAATGCTTGGAAACTTGTGAGTAGCTGTAATCAGTACTTGAACCATGCCGCTACTTTAACAAAGAATCGATTTATTCCATTGCAATCATTTTGTTAGGTGTCATTAGAAACCAAACTTTAAATTTTGATGGGTTTTCAATTTGTAAAAATTAAAATCGAAATCGAATCAAAATTTTTCAAAACCGAACAGAACCGATTTAGCTTGAAACCAAACAACTAAAATTTATTTGGTTTGATTTATTAATATATATTAATACTCAAAATTATACTCCCTCAGTCCGACAGTAAATGTCTCATTAACATTATAAGACACCGTTAAAAGTATTTTTGCACTTTTTCCTTGATTTATACTACATTTTTATATAATAACTTATATTCAAAGATCAACACGTAAAAAAGTAAATAAGACCTTTAAAGCCGGACGGAAGCAGTAATATATATTATAAATTCGATTTTGAACCGAACCAACTAAACAGTCCAAACCCCAATTTTATTTATTTATTTATTTTTTTTTTTTGTGGTGTACGAATAACATACTGTTACATGAAGCTTTGGGAATGATCACAACGTAATAATTATAATAATAATAAAATAAAAAACCTGAAGAGTTGCAACAACATTAACTTTGTTATGTTATGCACAACACAAAACCTGAAGAGTAGCAACAACATTAACTTTGTTATGTTATGCACAACACTAAGACAACACAAGACAAGACAAGACAAGGAGCAGTCAACATATGAACTCACAACCACAAAATATACAGCGAAGCCCTACTTGATGATATCCACCGCTAATAAATTTTGAAATGCCACAGGATCATGAGCATACAAGTTTTCACTACCCCCCACCCCCACCCAAAAAAAAGAAAAGGAAAAAAAGAAGTATTTCATGTTGAGAACGCATCGTCGACAGCTTGTAATATAGGAGCAGTATTAAATCTGAAGTTTATAAAGCTCCTACCTGGGCCTGAATCAGGTGGAGGAGGAGGAGGATTCACATCCCCGACTACACGGTTCGATTGGCTCTCTAGTGCTAATGAACTGCTTCCAGTCGAACTGGTTTTGGCCTTCCACATAGTGATTCCTAAGGATTGCAATCAAAATCAAATCAAGAGGATGCAGCGTAGTAGTAGTTTTTGTGAGAAAAAAACAGCACAACTTAAAAAAATCGGTGTTTTTTAATGATTGAATGCCCACAATATAAAGATGCGTGTCACAATAAACACATTGAAGAGAAGAAAGAGTAACCAGCAAATAAGAATTGTGCGGCAGAGAGAGCATGTGGGAAGGGGAGGGGAATAGCGAGAAATGATTACCTTTGCGAGGTTTATCAGGTCGAGGTGCTATGGGTGGCGGATGCACAGAAATCCACGACTTTAAGTCTCTGCAAAAGAATTGTGAGCTTTCAGCTTATCTGAAGGGAGTACGAGAAATTTTGGAGACGATGAATAATTACTTACGCCAGAAATGGAGCAACCATGTAGAGCTTCAGCCCAGTACTTCCACGAGATATGACGTTGTCATTTGCCGGTTGAAGTTCATCAAGACGGTGCCATGCAATTTCCTGAAACAATTAGAATATAATAGATCTGAATTATGAACCCCAAGAGAAACGCACAATAATGTGGATAGGAATTTCCAATTTTCTGAAAAGGTATGATAAAATGATGATGAAATGGAAGCAAATATATATATCATTAAAATTTCAGAGGAAGGACCCAAATCTCTATAAGACGAAGGGTTCTGACCATGGGATGAATATCCAGGATTGTTAAACATGATACCGAAAGCAGGAGCTTTTCAGAAAATCTTTTGACAGCAAACTTACTATGCACTTCCAGAGAATTCCGAGCAAAACAAACTTTTCAGTAGGACCTGACTTACGCTTATCTCTTTCTTAGTGAGTGGAGCAAAGTGTGTATCATCTTTAACTGCAGCAACTATGTACAGTCTCACTCTCTGCTGTCCAAAGATATTCTCAATGAAATCATCTGTATTAAGAAGATTTGAAACGTCAAAACCTGTCTCCTCGAGGACCTGCATCCCACAATAGAATTACTTGTTAGGTCACGGAAATTTATAATAGAGAATGAGGGATTGGAAGGACACAAGTGAAAAGAATATATAGAAAGTTTCAAGTAAAATATACAATGCACAGCTCCCATGCTAATTTAAAATTGTCGCAAGTTAACTAATACTTATATTTGTAGGATGACTTGCACTCCCAAATGATCAGGCACTCAGGTGTAATTTCGATGTATCCATCATATTCATAACTGAAAAAGGGGATGCTGAAAATAAAGAATGAAGGGAAAAACACAACAGTGCTCGTACATCAATGCAACTCACTGGCAATTGAGCTGTAAGCACTATGTAAATACCAAGAGTTGTTTTACTAAGGGCGTGTTCGTTTAAAGGATTTGTCCCAAATCCTACTATTCATCCAATTTTTTTCCCCCAAAATCATCAAATTAAACACTTATTTTTTATTTTTTATATTATACAAAAAATTAATTTTACATTCAAAATATCACATCAACACCTATTTATTTCACATCATACAATTATTACAATTCAAATTTTTTACTATTCAAATTCTAACTCAAAATCCAATCTCTCAAACAAACACATCCTAAATAGTTTCATTTTAATTATAAAAAAATACAGCTGTAAATTCAAGTTCTATAATCTTATAGTATATGAGAGGCCTTAATGGACATATTTTATAAGTCACATATGTATTAGCATTTAGTGGTGAATTCATGTAATTTAGAAATCATGTTTCTAGTGTCTAGTAATTGAATCATATCAATTGAGATGATTGCATAGGCAAAGAAGTTGGAACATACCTCCCTAATGGCACACTTATGGTCTTCCTCATCTTTGCTCTTTTTCCCTCGGGGAAAGCTCCAACTAGTTCCTTTCCATCCTTTCACTAGTAAGCACTGAAGAAAAAATAGTGGCTCAATAGTATATGGACGTGAAAAACACGACGGTTATGGCATATGCTAATTCTGATTTACTTTGCGCTATTGTTTAATTTTCTTTTCAATTGAATGTGGAAATATGGCAGGAACATGTTTTGTAGAAAAGATTTCGACAAGATTGAGATGTCTTCATTGTGTTTGGTTTTAGAATTTTCAAACCAGAGAGGGCATTTGTTTCGAGTAGCTTTAGCCATTTCAATGATAAGGAATCAAATCTTGCTCTTTTGAATCCATTATAGTTGCGACTGCACAATCAATTTGAATCCTTCCAAGGGAGGTTGGAATTTATGGACGTTAATACTAAGCTACATATGTTTCTCATAGAAGCATAATCAGGTGATATGAAGCATTAGTTCAATGTATGTACCACTATTTACAACATATATCTGGCAAATTTATCTCCAAAACACAAAAGAAGCAACAAGAAACAAATGCATATCCGTATCAGAATATAAGAGAATAATTGGCAGCAATGTGTACATAGAAAATCTCAATAATGCTGTAACCACTTGCAACACGGTGATTGCGTTATTGGTTCAAGAATTTTGAAAAGGGGAAAAAAAGGGAGGCAGGGGGATGGGGTGATGGAGAAAGAAGAGTGTTCAGAAATGTAAAATCTTCAATGCTAGTTCGACGATTTGGATATGGGAAAAAAAGCAACTATAAGACTATCTTTAAAAACAATATATATATATATATAATATAGTTGTGTGTGTGTGTATACAAAAAGAAGAAAAAGATAGACAATACAAAACAAAATTATGTGACTACATTAAAGGAGAGCAAAGATCAAGACTTATTTTCCTTCATTTTCCACAACACTTTTCTTCCACTAAGTTTTCTTTTCCCAAGTTCTTCCCTCTAAAACAGTCGAAATATTACTTCCCCCATTTTATTATTATTATTTTTTTCTATTACTCTCCAAAATCCACCAATCATACATAGTACAGGCTATATGAAAGATAATATAAATAATGTATGAAAGAGCTCACCCGTTCGTAAGTTTCATCCAATATAATGGCACCTGTAACTGGAACCCGAACTTTATACGAAGTAAAATCCTTAAATATGTCATCTATATGTGCAACATATGGTTTTAGAACATCACAGTTGTTAAACACTGTAGCAAGTTAAGGATACACAGAAAATCAGCTAGGAAACACAAAAACAAAGAATCTTCTACTGAAATAACTTTTAACAAAAAGGTATATTCTCATCAAATGCATATCCATACTCACCCTCTTGATATAAGTCTAACTTAAATAAAATATATTTTGAAAATTTCGACATCGTTAATGAAAATGAACAGTTGGAGGAAAAACAGTCAGAAAGAGAAACAGATCCAACTTAATAAGAAAGTTGAAACAAAAATATTGGGAGTAGAAGATTCTGAAAAATTGAAATGATACAACAATCAAAATCCATGATCTCAGTTCTATAAGAATGCCAATATCACATATATCAGAGATGCTGAAATTCCTGAAGGATACATAACGAAGTAAATTCTTTCAAAGTTAATGACTTCAAGGATGGGTCCTTCTCAACCGAGTTATCTTCATAAAACCAATGTGCATACTCTACAAGAAACAGAATTCTCTCAAAAGACTGCTGGTCTTCCTTAGGAACATTAAGAACAAATCGACTGCAAAACAATAACCAAAGATCATCCAAGAATTAAGAAACAGAATATGAATAGTTTTATTGTTCATCACTATTAAACAACGATTTTTCGAAGACCAGTTTCGAAACAAGCAGATTGTTTATCAAGGCTTAACATAAAGCTATATACCAAGAATCCTAAATGTTCCCCATCATATATATTAGTTTTCTCATTCATGAGAGGTATTATATTAATCTATCAATAATGCTGTGAACAATTCTCAGTAATTCCAACGAATTCGGGTTACAATCAATCCAAGGGTGAAATTGTCCCCAATCTTTTTTTTTTTTAAAAAAAAAAATTGCAGACGCGCAAATCTTTGTTCAATTTCCAGTTAGATCATCGAACTCAGGAAAAATTCAATTACCCTAAAATGTGATGAAAACGCATAAAACGATCCCAAACTATTGAACTAGTTACAGTCAATAATCTACCACTGAAATGTTCATAGAAATGATAATCGCAAACTTATTGAGCAACAACATACATACCTGCAGAGATCGTCGAGGAGTTCTTGAGGCGGGAGAGCAGTCTTGGAAGGAGCAGATGGAGCCCGATTATAGATGCCCGACATTCTTGTTGAATCCCTTCAATTTCTGCAGTGCAGCTTGTGAATTAGGCTTGAAAACTAATTAGGTTTGGAAAAAATGAGCCCTTCTGCCCCCATCAGGATGAATTTCCCTTCTGCCCTCATCAGCTAATGAATTTTCGCGTATTTATTTTTATTAACATCTACATGTATGTATATACTCCCTCTTATTATTTTCGGCCATCTCAAATTATTTATTCTATTTCCATAACTAAAAGTATTTACCATAAATTTTTTTGTTATTATCGTAAAAATATTATTATTTTAAGAGACAATTGAAAATAAACCTTAATATCTATTTACAATGGAATTTTTTTTTTTGAGAAGATACATTTAAAAAGACATTTATCCTATATTGTTGATTTTTAAGTTCGATAAAATATAAAAAATGATATTGGTGGAGAAAATATGTTAAAAGGTCATTTACCCTCTTGCCTGTCAGGCTTAGTTTGCAGGGTACTAGGTTCGATTCGGAGTTTATCCAACGTGCATTTTCAGGTAGCGACTGCGGATTCTCACGTCATTAAAAAAAAAAAAAAAATTGTCGAGTTTTAAGTTTTGTAAAATATGACAAGATGATACGAGTGTGGAGAAAATATGTTAAAAGGGCACTTACCCTGTTATCAAATTGTTGATTTTTAAGTTCGGTAAAGGATGACAAATGATATGGGTGGATTCGTGATTGCGAGATTATTGGTTTAAAATTTTGATGTTTTTACATTTTGTTTGTCATTTTTCTCTAACATGATTTATTTTGTCGGGCAAAGAATAGCGTCGTTATTCTTACACCATAAAAATTTTTTTTGTTGATTTCAGCTCTATATTGTATAAAATTGGACAAAATTCTTCAATCATGGCATCAAATACTGGATCAATTTCATTTACTCTTTGGCTTCTATAACTAGTCGTCGTCTGTAGAGCTATTAATGAGCCAAATTGAATTTTAAATGTTTGTGTTTGTTCGTTAATATTTGCAAACAAGGTTCGTGTTTGTTCGTTAAACTTTCGAACTCGTTTGTAGTGTTTGAGCTCGACTCGTTAAGAATTTTATTGTTTGAACTCGTGTTCGTGTTTGGCTCGTTTAGACTTGATTAAACTCGTTTGAGTTCGTTCAAGCTCGCTTGTCTCACTTTTTTTAATTTATATATAAATTAAAAAGAAAAATTAAAATTATTTTACTTATTTATTTTAAATTGATATTTTATATATTTATAAATTAATTTTATATGTATGTATAATAATTATAATAAATATATTATTTTAACGAACGTTTGGAAACAAAGGTCGGACTCTTTCGTTAGAAAGTTATCTTGTGAAACGTCGATCATAAAATCTGGTTAAAAACACATATAAATCACTTAATTAAATCTTGTTAAGACGTTTCGAAAAGATTCCACACTATTAGGTCGATTTAGAACCTATCATAAAAGTGACACCTTGAACATAACATGACTTATTCAAAACATCACATCAATACATATGTATATCACATCAAATAACTATTTTAATTCAAAACCAAAACCCAGTGTTGATGTATTTTTTTCAACAATCAAAAAGTAAAATTCAAAAATAGAAAATTATCTTCTTATTTGATATATTTAGCGCCTGAGATAAGGAATCTCTAAACACTCTACGCTACAGAAATTAAACTGGAAAGTAAATACTGGAAATTTAAATGATGATCCCCGAATCACTGACTTTGTTGTCGTTTGAAGATGATTGAAGATACCTTGTCAGTTGCAAATCCCAATCCTTAAATATTCTTCAGAAACGGTATTGGAAACCGTCGCCCGAACGGTTACAACGCCTCTTTTTCAACCATCTGCTAACTCTTCTTCTGCTGACACGTGTCCTCAGCTGACCGAATTATTACTCTCACTTGCTCTCAACAGTATCCAACTTCCACACTAACTGATTTGCCTATCCAACCACAAATCTTTCGACTTCTTGGACAGACCGCAGGCCTTCCGCCTTGTTGGTCCGACCGCAAACCTTTCGCATTTTTGGACCGACCGCAGACCTTACGCCTTGTTGGTCCAACTGCAAACCTTCCGCCTTTTTGGTCCGACCGCAAACCTTCCGACTTATTGGTCCAGCCGCAAACCTTCCGACTTATTGGTCCAGTCGCAAACCTCCCGACTTACAGACCACCCGACTTGTTGGTCCAGGCGCAAACCTCCCGACTTACAGACCATCCGACTTGTTGGTCCAGCCGCAAACCTCCCGATTTACAGACTTTCCGCCTTGTTGGCCCGACCACAGACCTTCCGACTTGTACATCGTCCGACCCACTGACCAACCGACCTGCAGACTATCCGACTTGTAAACCGTCTGACTCGTAGACTTTCCGCCTTATGGACCACCCGACCTGCAGATCTTCCGACCTGTGGACCTTCCGACCTGCGGACTTTCAGACCTGCGGACCTTCCGACATGCGGACCTTCCGACCCGCTATTTCCATAGAAATACATCTATTTCACCTGATGTCCCCACAACACCCCTTGATCAATCCAACAAACCCAATTTTAGGCCCATTTTTTCTTTTAACTTGGGCTTTTTAACCTAATTATAAATTTCATACGTAACAACTTGCCCGCCGCCATCGGACTTTCAAACGCCATTCCTCAATCGCCGTTTGGAAGTTCGCAACATATCTATAATCATACCTCTTTTGCGGAACCGTCTCTGCAACTGCAATCAATTACTGCGACATATTCTGTGCCACTACACTCTGCAACCTCATAATCAGCCTTCATCGTTCTTCAATTGTTGCAACTCCAGAATCATGGCGAATCAATACATACCTGCACTTCCCTTCGACGGATCAGTCCCTGAAACAGCTTTTGTGGCGACGAAAATGCTTACTCCGACCATCCGCCCATACTGCACTACCCCAGAAGACTCCAATCGAATGGGAGAAGTCTTGGAGGCAAGAAATCTACTGGCTATCAACAATCTCAACTACAATGCTACCCACCTTCATGATAGCATAAAAACTCATTTGACAGACCCCAAAGATCCCTACTGCACCTGGTACAAAAGGGTAGCAGAACACTTCCAGGATCAATGGAAAAATCAACACATCGACCAAGACATATTTCTTTGTACACTCCCATGTCATCTACATGAGAAGGTTCTATTAACAATGGCAGCGTTCTGACACCCTGAGATGTGCGCCTTCTTTCTTCCAACGGCCCCCATCAGCCCAACACTCATGGATGTGGCCACGGTCGCACATCTGCCAATTGTGGGAGAAGACCCTGTAATGGGTGCCCTATATGGGCAAGAGCCTAATGCGGACCATTTGGGCTGGTCACTGGCTGGCGTTAAGGAATGGGGCTGGACTAAATTTTTAAACGACCAGGAAGGAGCAGACGGGACCCCTGTGACCGACCGGGAGCATACGGCCTTTCTGCTCTTTTGGCTCTGTAAGTATGTTGTAATTTCCCCTTCGAAATGTGTTCTCCCTTCTCACCTTGATCTAGCCATACATATAGCTTCCGGACGTTTCTTTTCGTTGGGCACCCTCTTCCTTGCCAATCTTTTTGAAGGAGTGTCCAGGGTTAGCACCCGTCTTACAGATAAAGATGGTAAAAAATTAGATACTGCTGCATCAGGCCCTTTTTGGTTTTTAGAATTGTGGTTCCGTCTTTATTTCCCTGAAGCGTTTCAACTCGGCCACCCCCCTGTTGCGCCACCACCTGACAAATCTCTAGGAATAACCCTTAACCGACTTTGTTTAGGTCACAACAACCTTCAAACATCCGACCCTATCATAACTGCCATCTTAACAGATGATCGTAACAACTCCCGATTCCATATGTACCGAAAATACATCGGTTATGCGTCTGGCCTATTTTGGCAATTCCCTATACCTTCGCCTTTGTCCGAACCGGACCCACTTCCGCATCCCACTTATTCTTTCTCCTGGGATGCCGCTTTTAAGCCTAGGTCCTTATTTGTCATTAAGAAAATTGATAAGAAAGGCCACAAAGCGTTTTATACCTTCAACTATCAGCCTCAGTTCTTGGCACGCCAATTCGGATGCCAACAAGGCTTGTCTAGTCCTATTGCCCATCCACATTTAATAATTCAAAGTCCAGATGGGAGAGTCATTCATGAACTAATCGCCCCTTATGTATCCCAGCTCACCAACTATATAACTTCCAACTCCTACATTCCTTTCCGGACCTCTCCAGCTTTAGGCGAATCATTTCGTGAATGGTGGTCGGTCACCTGGGCCTTAATTGCTCCTGACAAAGATCGCTTGCTGGGCATCCTTTTACCCCAGCTTGCGCTGATATTAGGGGCGACCCCACTGACCAACACCCGAAGGAAATTAATCACGCAGGGCACCGGGTCAGGCACTCTACAGAGGAAAAGAAGAGCTTCCCAGACGCAAGCTATTCCCTTCTCTGTGGACAATCAACCGGCGTTGATAGACCGCCCATTAGGTCGGGCCCCCATCAAGACCCGACCTCGTCCAGGTATATTCTCATATTCTCAACTTAACTTGATTCTTTCCTTATCATGTTATTAATCCCTACTTTTATGCTTAGGTCCGACTTCGGCCAGGGCGGCCGTCCAACCTGCTTCAAATCCAAACAAATCAACAGAGCCACCAACCGACCAACTCCATGAACCTGAACCCCCGACCAAACGACGGGCCCCAGTGAGAGCGTCTTCACCAGCCTACCCAGCAACAACAAGGATCTCATCCCATAGTGAGGCGACTGCTTCAGAGATGGGCGGGTTACCTTATGTCGCCTCAGAAGAAAGAAATGTCTCTGATACAGCCGCCCATATAGCTCCCGACGAACAAACCGCAGCTGCCTCAGACACATCCGACCAAGGAGCAGCTGATTTAGGGGCAGCCAACGTGGAGGCAGCCGACCCAAGGGCGGCAAACCCTCCCCCAGAAGCAGACAGGCAGGAAGAAGAACCTGCAGCTGCTTAACCGAAGGGTATCTTGCTTACAAGAAATTCCCTCATCTGATTCAGAGACTTCTGTTAACCTGGTAAACGCTCAACACCCTCCTTTCCAAATTACAAGTTAGTGTTTACGTGATATTAAATACACTACATTCCCAATGTTCAGGGACCTAGATCCAAACCTCAACGTCCGCTT